TTGAATTGTCGGAATTTTGAGGAAGAGAGAAATGAATGATGGAGACGAAGCTTGTTGTTGTTGGAGGAGGATAAAGTCACGTGAGATACACGTGTTTTTAACACCATATGCAAATAAACGATGGGCCTGGGCCTGGGGCTGGGCCTCAAACACCAAAATGAATGTAACCAAGAGACGTTGATGGTATTGATTGATTTGCAAAACAGAAATGTAACCAAGAGACGTCGATGATGAATGAATACACAATGCACAATAGTAATGAAAGAAACATAATTATTGTCATTAAAATCAAGAAAAAGTATTTTGTAAACCTATTAATGTTAAAGGAACAAAGGGAGCATCTCTTTCCTTTAAAGGCTTACGTGGCAGGGCAGTCTACTTGAATACACGATTCCCATGTATTCATGAACGTCCACACTTGGGAATACACGATTCCCATGTATTCCCATGTATTCATGAGGCTCACAGGACATACAATCATTGGTCTAATGAGTTATATAAACCAAACAAATCCAAGCCATGAAACCGATGTGGCACAAAAGACAAATATACAAAACATACAATACTCTTTCCAATTTTTCTCTTCTCTTTGAAGAAATCAGCCAAAACATCGTTTAGTGTTTTAATTTCATTCAGCTTTGACATATCTTGTTTACTTTTTTCTACTTAATAACTACTCCCTCCGTTTCAAATTAGTTGTCATTTTGACAAAAATGTATCTGCAAATATTTGGATATATCTGGATCTGTTACAGATACATTTTACCAAAATGACAACTAATTTGAAACTAAGGGAGTATAAAATTGTAAAATTTTCCAATTGGCAAAAAACAAAGTTTTTCCATTATCATATTCAATTAACAAACACAAATATGTTCTTCTCCATAACTAACTTTTTCATGCAAGAGTATGAAGACAAAGACTCTATTTCCATGTGATTCATCCTTCATCAGGAGAAGAAGACCTCAACACTAGACGTTTTCAAAGACTGACAAACAGGACAAACACCAGTAAACACATCACATTCTTTACACAAACTCAAATGCCTACACGGGACAACCAACACCGATACCTCCTTCACGTTACACGACTTGCATCTCATCCCACCACCACTTGGGATGTTGTTCTGGTGGTTGTACGACGCTGCATCGTCATCAACCTCGCTATCTCCAAACCCTTCTTTCACTTGATGGTGATGATGATGATCAGCTACTACTCCTCCTCCTCCATGTGACATGACTTGTTGGAGATTTACCTTCAAGGCGTTAACAACAGACTCATTGTACTTTGCCCTGTACTGCCAGTTCTGAGCTTCAACCGCCACTTGCTTTATCCTCTCCACGAGGTCTCGGTTCTTCTTGTTCATGCTTATGATCTCCTGATCTTTCTCTTGAAGCTTCTTGCTCACGTCATTCTCCAAGGCCGTGACAAAAGACGTGACATGTCTCTGTTTTATGTCTCTCACTCCTTTCGCCAGTTGATCTGCCTGTTCCAAGAGAGAGACTGCAATATCAAGAACATGCTGATGCAGAAAAAAAAACAAGCTTTGAAGATAGAGATCATAGAACTAGTACCCCGAATTTGATAAACTGGTCAAGCTCGTCTTTCTGTCTATCAAGATCCAGTCTGATATTGTCACTGAGAGACTGAAACATTGGAGTAGTGAAGCTTCCGTTTGCAGAAGTTACAGAAGAGTTGTTACGCTCATCGTCGTCGTTAGAGAGTCTCAGACCAGTTGACACTAAGTTCTGCTTTGGGACTTCATCTTGTTGAACAACACCATTGTTGTTGTTGTTGTTGTAGTTGTAATTCAAAGAGATTTGCAGCTTCTGCTGTTGTCTCTGGATGCTATTGTTGTTGATTTCGGTTTCTCTTCCTCGTTTGCTACTATGCCGAACCATTGGACTGAGGTTGTTATTATCATTAGCAAAGTAGTTTACAGGATCAATAGTACAACCAGCTCTCACTGCAAACCACAACCACATACAAAAGAAGAAGCTTTTAGCTTTATAAAGTTGTAACAACATTCAGTCAAAGCAAATGATCAAAAAGGTCAGAGAAGAAACTTACTTGTTCCGAGCAAGTGAAGCTGATTCAACGATGTGTTTGTTTGGTACTGAAACTGGCTATCGTTCATTAGAACATGCGGCAAAGGATTCTCATTGTTGCCTCCCAACATCTTCTCTAGAGAGCTTAACCGTTTTGTGAGTATATAGCAGTAAAGTATTAAACTTTCAGAAGATTACAGTGAGAAACCTGCAACGAGAGAAAAAGTTGAGACCTTTGAGGGCAAAGTTGAGACCTTTGAGGGCAAAGTTGAGACCTTTAAGAATGTTTCAACAGAATGATCAAGGGATTGATATAATACAAATACTAACCGGTAAGAGTTAATGTATATAGTCAACAAAAATAAAGCTTTTGCCTATTTGATTAAGTTTCTATGATCTTGCCTATTAATTGGCAATCAAATTTGATTAATTGATCATGGTCAAAGATTTAAGGAGTTAGGAACCAAATTGATACAAGGAGTAATGGACCAAAATTGATAGAAGGAGTTAGGAACCAAATTGATTGATTGTTCATGGTCAAAGATTGAAGGAGTTATGAGCCAAATTTGATTACAAGGAGTTAGGAACCAAATTGATTGATTGATCATGGTCAAAGATTCATCAAAATATATTTAACTAAATAACAAAAGAATCATGTTAAAATTGATTAAATAAGGTAAATCTTTTTCGAACATGGCAACTTCAAAGAACCAGATAAACTCAGAAACAGAAAGCCAAAGATCTTGTAAGAGAAGACTTTTGTACCTCTTAGAGATTGCCCATCAAAGAATTCATCCGATTTTTTTACAAAAATAAAAATTAAACCTTAGCTTCCTTTAGATCCTGCATACACACACAAGAAGAAGAAGAAAAACTCTTCATCATCGTCATCATCAAAGTTTGATTTATTTTCAATAATTAAATTCATCAAAAAAAAAATAAACCTGCAAAAACAAGGAGTCGAAAGGAGCCAATTGATGAAGATTGAGAATCTTAAGAGACGAATAAAAAGAAAAGAAGAAAAATGGGTTTGTTGAAACGCATTAGATAACACAACATCCAAATAAATTAAAGGGCTATGAGAAAATTTATTTAAGGGAAGAAGAAAGAATAAAAGAAGAAAAGAAACGGATGGGAGGAAAAAAAAAACGAATGAAATGAATGATGGAGGTGAGAAAGCAGAGGACACAGTGGTGAAGGAGTGGGAGAAGTTGGGTGGCAAAATCGAAATTAAAAATTAATTAAATTTTCTCGAATTTTGCAAAAAAATAAATCCGAAATCATTATTTAAAAAAAAAAAAATAATTTTGGGTGATGATAACAAGAATAATAATAACCGGTGCCGGTGGGTATTGGTTCTGCTCATTTCCCCGTGAGTTGTGCCTCCCTGGTGACGCCATTTACTCATCTTTTTCTTCTATACTTTTTCCTTTTTTAAGTTGTTTTTTTGAGTAATTTATAAGTTAAATACTAAATTTAATTTAAATATAAGAAATTTTCAAAATGTTAACAGTAATAACCTATTTTTTTATTAAAAAACGAAAGCGACCGGTTTCTTGGACATCCCTCCACCTAGATTCTGAGGTGGAGTATCTTGGAACTGGTAATGGTATTGCTCCGATTTTGTCTTTTTAATTTGTATTTTTTCTTCTATAAATTGTGTTGGTTAAGGTTTTGTGACAAGCCATCTAATTAATCTAATCTTGGTGACAGTTAATTAATCTAATCTTGGTGACAATGTTTTCTTGCTTAGTTTATCTAGTTTCGTGTTTGAGTTGATTGGGATTAGTTTTGGTTTTAGTTTTGTTTGGTTAGTTCATCATATTAGCAATGGATGGTTTATATTTTAAAGAGCAAATGAAAATCCTACAAGTAAAATTGTAATACTCTCGTGTACGTTTTCATTACATCATTGTCTCGTATACTTGACCCATTTTCAAAATTTTGTTTTTAAATGTTAACTAGTTATCCAAATTCCAAAGTATTCAAAATTTGTTAAAGTTTAAAGGCTAACATCACTGTGGTAATAATCTTCTCACAAGTCACAACACCTTACAAAAGAACGACTTTTGCTGAATCAATTTGCCTTTATGGCTTCACATCCTCCAAGACCTTAAGCAACGTATCTGAATGTAGACCAATAGCTTGTGACAAGTTTATCAGTTGGGTTTACGAGGCACAATCTCCACGAGGGTCTTTTTTTGGTCGTGAAACTTCTTGTCTTTTTGTTGAAACTTTTCAACACTTTGGCTCATAGACTTCTATGATGTCTCATGTTGAAGTTGGTGGTTCCCTATAAATTTAAAGTATTGTGTATACAGAGCTGAGAGATGTAACCAGAAAATATTTAACTTTCACCAGACTATTTCAAAACGCATTAAAAATGAAAATAATTGTATCTTAATAGGAATAAAAACTGGTGGAACTAAATATTCTTTTACATTTTTGCCATTTAGGTTGAAAAATGCTGAAAGATATATTCCACCACTAGCTTTATTGAGTGGAAAATAGAAGATAGAAAAATAGATTTATTTCTACAATTCTACTGCAAAGTGCAAAATACATAGAGAAATAGTTTCATTTTTAAGTTTGTAATGGAATAATAGTAGTCTTATGAAAAAAAATACGGACACGTGTCCATAAACCCTAATTGCCCAATCCTTTCTCCATCGTTTTTCTTTTGCTCTTCGACATTCGTACCGCTGTTCTATTTCGTTACCGGAATTTGCTTACTTTGGCCACACAAGTCCAATTACAGAAGAGAAATAGAGAATCGAAGAAGACAATCACAGAAATTGACGAAAAGTCGGCTGTGATACTTATATCCAGACGAACGCATATCGAAACGCAGACGCCAAACGCGGAACGCACACAATTCATCTTCCTCTTCTCTACTAAACCCTAATTTCCGTTTGAGCACACTCTCATAACCGAGCTTGTCTGCATAGAAAAGATGGCTAAAGAAGAAGAAGTAGAGATAGTAAGGATCGTCACTGATGAAGAAAAGACATTCGCCAAGAATTTCAACATCAACGATCTCCCCGACATCCCTACCGGACTTCCTCCGCATCTTGAACTCCAGCGAACTCGTGTCGTCTGTAAAAACGATGCTCCAATCCATGTATGAAACTTTCCTGACTTTACTCTTCAAATTCACAATTGCTCTGTTTTCACTGATTTCATCTAAATTGGGATTATTAGCTTTTTCTCAATTGTTCCCATCTGGGTTTGAGTTTTATCGCTGCTGTATTTCGTAAATTTCGATTCTTTTCATGTGAAAAAACTGTAAATTTGTGGGTTTGATCTCATGTTCTTACAAAGATCACACCTTTGGGTTTGAATTCTTTCATATTCACAATGCTCTGTTTTTGCTGCTTATAACTTCAGCTTAATTGGGATTATAAGCTTTTTCTCAATAGTTCCCATCTGGGTTTGAGTTTTATCATTGCCGAGTTTGTAAATTTCAATTCATTTCATGTAAAAAGCTGTACATTTGTGGATTTGATCTCAAGTTTTTACAAAGATGACACCTTTATAAGCTTTGACCTATATGATGATTGCTTGAAATTTGAAGTCTTTTAATCCTGTTCTCACCTTATGTTTGTCTGCTGTGTGTTTTCCATAGACTTCAAGTGTGGTTTACTCTGGTGCTTATAACGCTGTGGGAGTGGACAACAGTGTGAAGCTAGAAAACTTCTCTGAGAATTTCAAAGTTAATGTAATCAGTAGCTCAGAAGACGGCATGGATATGGAGTTCGATATGATCGGTATCAATGCAGCAATCGCCAACGCTTTCCGAAGAATCCTTTTAGCTGAGGTCTGTTCTCTTCTCTTCACTTTGTCTTTCACTAACCTCTAAAGCTTTGATTTTTATTGAATTAATTACTTAATTTTCAGCTTCCTTCAATGGCTATTGAGAAAGTGTTTGTAGCAAACAACACATCGCTTGTTCAAGATGAGGTTCTTGCTCAAAGGTTGGGTCTTGTCCCAATCGCTGCAGATCCGAGGCTCTTTGATTATATATCCGGTAAGTGGCACTTGATCCACCTCTATAAGCAAGATCTTCTTTCTCTGTTGTGTTTGCTTATTTATACTCTCTTTATGTCAATAGAAAGCGATCAGCCAAATGAAAAGAACACCATTGTTTTCAAACTCCATGCGAGATGTGAAAGAGGCGAACCGCGTCTTAAAGGTAACATACATTGTTCTTTTGGTTAGCATTGGATAAAAACCTCATTTCTTAGCTCATTCTCTTAATGAAAGGTGTTCCTTTTCTTGTAGTGTTAACTGAAGAATTGATTTGGTTACCAAATGGGAGTGAGATGGTTAAAGAATCAGGAGAGTCAACCTCATCAAAGCCGAAAACTTTCACTTCGTTTAGTCGAAGTCAAGACTCCTTCCCTGAGTTTGCTGAGAATCCTATCTCTCCGAGCAACCTTGATATCTTGATAGCAAAACTTGGCCCTGGTCAGGTACTGTTTCTACTTCCTAGTTGTTACACTGTTCTTGCAATGAGAGATGAAACCAAACACTTGCCTCTTAGCTTTTATCTTATTCACTTTGCAGGAAATCGAGCTTGAAGCTCACGCGGTTAAAGGCATTGGTAAAACACATGCAAAGTGGTCTCCAGTAGGGACGGCTTGGTATCGAATGCTTCCTGAGGTGAGAGAAGTTTATACCTCAATCTCTTATGGTTTCTTGTTTCTTGTTCTATTTCTTGTTATCTTTCATGTAATGCCTTGTTTATATTATCTTAGGTGATTCTACTAAAGGAGTTTGAGGGTAAAGAAGCTGAAAATCTCGTAAAAGCCTGCCCAGTGAAGGTTTTCGACATTGAAGACATGGGCAAAGGTGAAACTCTTCTTACTTATTGTGATGAAACCTGAGAACTTTGGTTGCATGCAATCTCTCTTCCTCTCTCTTTGCAACTTTTGATTTCATATTGACTTTGCAAAAGTGGATGAAAACAGGTAGGAAGAGGGCAACGGTAGCTCAGCCGCGTAAATGCACATTGTGTAGGGAATGCTTAAGAGAAGAATTTGGAGTACCAATAGTGAAACCAAAAGTGAAACCAGTGAAAGATGAAGGGAAAGATAAAGAGACTCAGATAGAGAGAAAAGAATGGATAGACAATGTGGCTCTGCACCGTGTCAAGAACCATTTTATATGTAAGAATCAGAGAAGGAAACAAAAAACAAGATTCTTTCTTTTTTTTACTCTGCAATTTCATGAAAGAAAAGCCCTAATTGAGTTTTTTTCGTTGTTGTTTTTGTCTTTTCTCAGTTAAGATTGAGTCCACTGGATCATTGCCTCCGGAGGTTCTCTTCACTGAAGCTGTGAAGATTTTGGAAGATAAATGTGAACGTGTAATTGCTGACCTCTCCTGAGAAGAGATTTGTTGGTTTAGCTCTACCGGTTTAGTTCGATTTTGGGTTCTGTATCAAAATTTCTCCTTGAGCATTGGAATTAGTTCTGGTACTTTTTGGTTTAAATTGGAAATCAATCACCTTGTGATTCTAACCAGCTTCACGGTTAATTTGGTATATTGAACCGGCTGAGAGATGGAACTATATAAAGTAAACAAACTTGATTAATCACATGACACATATCTGCAAAAAATCTTATCATTACATTAACAAAGCTAAAAATTTGATATCCAAACGTCTGTCCTCAAGTGGCCTCGTCCCTTTATCTTACTCAAAGATGCTTGACTTAAGTATCTTTGCATCGTTGAGATTAAGATCCTCTACATGGTCTACAAAGACATCAAAATCTCTACCAGAAAAACCATCAGAACCTGGGATTTGAACTTTCTGGAGACTCTTGCTTTCGGGATTGAAGTAGAACATATAAGACTTAGGTGAGTCTTTATGATAAGTATACCCTGGCGACAAAACAATTTCACCCGTAGCAGTCACTCCAACGACGGAAACATCTCTGTAACAGTCATCTAAGTGATGAGCGATTTCACAATCATGTGGAAAAGTGTAGACATGTTTCGACCATTCATGTTTCTCCACATCTTCAAGAACACACGTATGCAACTCCAAGATGTTCTTGTCACGGTACCTATGAATTACACCTAGTTTACCCTTATAGTTAACCAATCTTGAACGGCAAAAATAAAAATTCTCCACGTCGATTATCTTAGATTTCTCAGACCTAACATCAAAGCAAAATATCTCCAACGTTTCATCAAGTTTTTTAACTAAGCAATACACTACTCCGTTGATGCATATCCATTCCGAGCAACTAGTACAATAGGGTAATGAACACTGTACCTTCCTCCAACTCACTTCTCCAGTTCCTAATGTCAGGATTCTAAACTCACCTTCATTGGCCAACAATACCTTGAATTGCTTGTCAATCGGATCAAACCCTAAAAAGCTTACCGAGCACATGTACTGCTCTATCACTTTAGGTAAGATCGAATACTGGCCCGTGTTAGGGTTACATATCACATGGTCCTGATCGTTTGTTATCAAGACCAAACCAGAGGCATAGCCATCGATATATCCCGGCATAGGGAACGTCATATGAAGATCAGCGGCTACTACGGTAGAGGACAAGGTTTCGTATGGATTGTGAGGCTGAGGCAACGAGACGAACCTCAAGTAGTCAACTCTTTTTTCAGATACTCTTCGGAATGCAAATAAGAGACGTGGACGAGCAGAGGACCTGGTCAGGAAAAACTCTGTGAAATAGGGACGGTGAAGCATGGACTCCCATAGCTTCGATACGCAACGAAACCTGGCGATTGACTTTGAAGGCAGTCTTGAAAATATCTCGAAAAAGAGATCTTCCGGGATGGAATTCATGATCTCGTGAGGTGTGTTTTGCTGACGGAGAGAAGTTAAAAACTTTGTATCAAAACGTCACAAGTATAAAGGAAGACAAAATAGGAGAGAATCATGTTAAAAACTTTAATAAACCTAACGTGACAAGTAAAAAGGAAGATATAAAATAAAATAAAATGGATTAGGTCGAATGATTGAACCTTATTTAGGGTCGGCGCTAACGTGTCGTAAGGCGTAAAGGATAAGTTTGATTTTGGCATTTGAAATTTCCTTATTCCTATCGGTAACTGATTTACGGTTTCCTATTTTTTGCATTGTTAATTAGTTTCTTGTTTTCCGTAGCACGTTGTGTACATTTTTCAGGATCTCTTACTTTGTACTCGTCTCTGCAGCTTTCATCTGTGTGGCACACAAATGGATAATCGGCTCCTTTATAAACCATTGCTACACGTCTTTTCTCCCATTTCTTAGCTTTTTTTTTTTTTTTTTTGAATTATTCGGAGGTTCTGTGCCGAAACCCATATATCCCATACGCCTGAAACCACATGTAATATTGATTTCGTCTTAAGCGACACTCGATCATGTGACCTCTAAGCTTTGCTTAGAATCCCTTTACGAGTCGAGGTATAGCCACTTGGTCATTTCATTTCTTAGCTTTAGTCACTACTTCCATTCGGTTTTAAGATAGTTTGATAATAGAGGACTATAGCAACTACTCGTTTTGATTCTTAGGGTTTCAGCTTATGTTAGTTTTATCAAAAATTTTCTTCTTAAATATTATCTCATCACTCTATGCTCCTTTATGGCAGAGTAAAACACATTCACAAAGCTTCATACTCAGACAAACAAAAAAAAAACACCACATTGTGAATGGATGATGATCGAAAACTGAAATTTGAGTTTCCTAGGTCAATCCTCACATTGAACTTTTGAAATTTGTGTTCTTTCGATAATAATACTGTAAGAGACGACAAAACTCTCTTTTTGGCTTAGAAATTATTTTCAAGTGGAAACAGAAGTAAAATACAAGAATTTTTTTTCTTCTTCTCCTATATATTATCTGTAAATCTAATATAGATTCTGTTGTGATGTGATATCAATATAATTGGTATTAGTATTAAGATAAAAAAAAAATTGTAAACCAATCACCAAATGTTGGATGGGTTGTAAAATAGAAAAAAACACACAAATTTGTGGAGAATTTTGAAGGTTTTAATTTCCGTTACTTGTTCATCCCAGCACTGAGATTCAACACCGTCTGCTCCAACGACAAAAACTTAGCAGCAGATTGGAATTTCTCCTTGTTCAGCTCAGCTTTGAGATTCTTGATTTGTTCCTCAAGTTCTTGGACTCGAGTACCATCAGTATATGTTTTCTTCCTCCCCAAGGAAACCTCGTCAAGCTTTGTCTTCAGCCAGTCTAGCTAGAAACCTGCTTCTGTTAGATCAATCAACTCGCTGCGAGCGTTGTTTAGCTCAGTCTCGGAGATGTTATGTGGAGGCTTGTTGAGCGTATCAATACATTAATCTGACTAATTTTCTCTTAAATTAAATAACTGTATTTTGTTTTGTATATGCAGTGAGTTCGAACGAGAGCTTAATAAACACAATTTTTTTGTTTTCCTTTTCTTTTGGTCCAATACACTCATGTTATACGTCGGAACTTTTGATATTATTCATTATTGTTTTCAGGTAATTTGGGAGAATTATATATTATGAGTTAAAAAAAGAAAATTAAATTAGACCATAAAATTACAAACCCTAAACCTTAAATCACAATCAACGTGCCAAGTTTACTAGTCACTGATGAATATATAAGGAGCAATCAGCTTGTCAATGTGATATGCAAGTGTAAAAACAAATGACAAAACTAAACCTCTTTTGTTTTCCTGGTCAACTCAACGGCTCAACTCTATCATTCTAACTTTCTCAAGTAAACCATTTTAAGTTAGTCTTCTTGAAAAAAAATTGTTAGTCTTGTTAACTGAGTATATTTTTAAAAGTTTGGTAAAAGTAGTAAATACTAGCTTTTTTTTTTCTTATATAACTGTTTTGAGTAATGATATGAATTATTTCACGTACACTACCATATATAGTACCATCATTACATACCTTCCTCTTACCATGCAGAGTTACAAGAGGTCACGAGATATTATGTACAATGGTAGAAGACAACATCATAGAATATTTCTTTCTCTTTATTTTTTACACATCATCATATAGAACTCTACAATCTTGTATTCATTATTGACATGGAGAATATTATTGATTTAGAACTGGCGAGAGATGGAACTAAAGTAAACAAACTTGATTAATCCAAAAAAAAAAAATCTCTGCAAAAATCTTATCATTACATTAACAAAGCTAGAGATTTGATTTCCAACGTCTATATATATAAAAAATATCGCTTACACCTAGTCCAATCTCTCATTGTATGTTTCTCTTCTTCTTATGTCTCGTCTTCCCGACTGTCTCCTTCCTTGCTCTCTGTCCTCATGTGGCCTCGTCCCTTTATCTTACTCATAGATGCTTGACTTAAGTAGCTTTGCATCGTTAAGATTAAGATCCTCTACATGGTCTACAACGACTTCAAATGATCTACCAAAAAAATCATCAGGACCTGTGATTTTAACTTGCTGGAGAATCTTGCTTTCGGGATTGAAGTAGAAAACATAAGACTTAGGTGAATCTGTGTAACAAGTATACTCTTGCGACAAAACAATTTCACCCCTAGCAGTCACTCCAACGACGGTAACATCTCTGTAATAAACATATAAGTGATAAACGAGTTCACAGTTATATGGCAAAGTGTAGACATGTTTCGACCATTCATGTTTCTCGACATCATCTAGAACACACGTATGCAACTCCAAGGTACGCTTTGCACGGTTCCAATGAATCACACATGGTTTACCCTTATAGTTAACCAATCTTGCAGGGCAAGCATAAAAAGTTTCCATGTTGATAATCTTGGAGTTCTCAGACCTAACATCAAAGCAAAATATCTCCACCGTTTCATCAAGGTTTTTAGCTAAGCAATACATAACCCCATTGATGCATATCCCTTCCGAACAATTAGTAAAACAAGTTAATGGACACTGTACCTTCCTCCAACTCACTTCTCCAGTTCCTAATGTCAGAATTCTAAACTCACCTTCCGTGGTGAACAATACCTTGAATTGCTTGTCAATGGGATCAAACCCTAAAAGGCTTATCGAGAACATGTGCTTTCTCACTTTAGGTAAGATCGAAAACTGTCCCGTGATAGGGTTACATATCACATGCTCCTCCTGATCCCTTTTTGACAAGACCAAACCAGAGGCATAACCACAGATATGTCCCAGCATAGGGAACATCATATGATAATCAGCGGCTACTACAGTAGACGACAAGTTTTCGTATGGATCATGAGGCTGAGGCAACGAGAAGAAGCTCAAGTAGTCAACGCTTTCAGATCTTCTTTGGAATGCAAATAAGAGACGTGGACGAGCAGAGGACCTGGTCAAGAACAACTCGGTGAAATAGGGACGGTGAAGCATGGACTCCCATAGCTTTGACACGCAACGAAACCTAGCGATTGACTTTGAAGGCAGTCTTGAAAATATCTCGAAAAAGAGATCATCCGGGATGGAACTCATGATCGATTTGCTGAGAGATGTTAAAAACTTTATATCGAACGTCACAAAGTATAAAGGAAGACAAAATAGGAGATGTGTTAAAACCTTGATATAAATCTAACGTGATAAGTAAAAAGGAAGATACTAACAGAAGATATAAAAATCCGCTTGGGACGGTACCAAGTAAGGGATTTGGCTAAATAAGTATTACTAGGTTTGCTTGACCTAGCATCCAAATTCACAAGCCGCTCCTTATTTTCTCTAGCAAAGGGTTTAGGGACTAGCACAGAAAAACAAGATGGAATCAAATACAGTAAAACCTCTATAAAACAATAATGTTGGGACTTTGAAATTTTATTATCTTATAGAGTTATTATTTTATCGATAAAACAATAATTATTATTTTATCGATAAAACAATAATTATTATTTTATAGAAATATTCTATCAAAAACAAGAAACTTTATAGAATATATTTTTTCACTTTTTTATTCAAATTTTCCTTATACTTTGTTATTTACATATTTCATGCTCAGAAGTTCAAAATCTAGAAGAAATTATGTCTAATGTTCTTAATGGTGAAGATGAAGTTGAAGATGATGAGGAAAGACATGTGCAAGTAGTTAAGCAATTGTGGCTTCGAGAACTCTTCACAACTTTTGGCTGCAAGTTGAGAATACATCACAGAAATTGTAGATGCAATAAGAAAAATTCGAGATGAGCTCCAACGGGAATCCAACTTTCAGAAAAGACAAACTACATTGGAGTCATATTTTACTAAATTGTCTTAGATATATATGCCTTAGTTTTATAATTATTATCTTAGGTTATTGTTGGGACTATATTTTTACATAGGAGTTTCAAAAATATTATTGTCTTATCATCTTATCGCATTATGCTATTTTTTACATTGGCCCGAGTTGGGACCGGAGAAAATTATTGTCTTATAGTGTTTATTGTTTTATCGAGTATTGTTTTATAGAGGTTCTACTGTACTACTGTTTTATTTAATGAATTTACTGGCAAGTGGTCTCGGTTCATTTTCTTGGACACATCGAGCTGGTATATAACACTTTCTTTGTGAACTGATTTTGTGTCTAGGAGGATATAGAGCGTACGTTATTGGAGGAAATCAACCCTAAACCTTAAAATCATAATCAACGTGCTAAATTTACTAGAAACTGGTGAACATAAGGAGAAACCAGCTTGATCAATGTGATGGATGAAAGTGTAAAAACAAATGACAAAACTAAACCTCTTTTGTTTTCCTGGTCAACTAAACCACTTTAAGCGAGTCTTCTTGAAAGTCAATTGTTAGTCTTGTTTTGCACTGAAGTAAACAAACTTGATTAATAAAAAAAAAATTAAAAGAAAGGTACACACATGACACATCTCTGCAAAAATCTTATCATTACATTAACAAAGCTAACATTAAAACCAAAAAATAAAAAACAAAGCTAGAGATTTGATCTCCAACGTCTATATAAACCATATAACTTTCACTGAGTCCAATCTCTCATTGTATCTTTCTCTTCTACTTCTCCCCTTATCACTCTAATGATCGTCGTCACTGTCTCTTCCACTCTCCACACGCCTCTTTCTGTCTCTCATTGTTTTCTTCTTCTTCTTCTTCTTCTTCTTATGTCTTCATCTTCCCGACTGTCTCCTTCATTGCTCTCTCTGTGTTTCTTCTCCCTACTCACACCTTCATCATACCTCATGTCGTCGCCCCTCTTCTTCACAAATGGAACATACATGCTTGACTTAAGTAGCTTTGCATCGTTAATATTAAGATCCTCTACATGGTCTACAAAGAATTGAAATGCTCTACCATAATATCCATCAAAACCTAGTTTTTGATGAACTTGTTGGAGGCTCTTGCTTTCGGGATTGAAGTAGAGAACATAAGACAGAGGTGAATCTTTATAACAAGTATACAGTGGCAACAAAACAATTTCGCCCTTAGCAGTCACTCCAAGGACGGAAAAATCGCTGTGCTTAACGAGTTCACAATTATGTGGCAAAGGGTAGACATGTTTCGACCATTCATGTTTCTCGACATCATCTACAACACACATAAGCAACTCCAAGGTACGCTTTGCACGGTTCCAATGAATCACACCTAGTTTACCCTTATAGTTTACCAACCTTCCAGGCCAAGCATTAAAGGTTTCCATGTCGATAAACTTGAATTTCTCAGACCTAACATCAAAGCAAAATATCTTGAACGTTTTATCAACTTTTGTAGCTAAGCAATACATAACCCCATTGATGCATATCCCCGACGAACAATTAGTAAAATAGGTTAATGGACAATGTACCTTCCTCCAACTCACTTCTCCAGTTCCTAATGTCAGAATTCTAAACTCACCATCATCATCATCATCATCATCATCATCATCATAGCAAGGAATAACTAGCTCGTCTTTTCCATCCAAGTCGCAATGATTCAGGGTTCGCAACGCGTAGGTACAGAGCCAAGTGATCATCAACATCATCTCCTTTGGGATGAACCTCAACAAACCTGAACAAAATAAAATAAATAAACACATATTTGATTAATAATAGAGACAACTTATTAAAGGAATATGGAGGACAGGTTCAGAATTAAAACACACACACACACACACACACACATATACATTTTCCTTTACCATTCACAGCCGCCGCTTAAGAATTTTGGTGATGATATCGTAGCTTCCTTCTCGGAGAAGTTATCTATCTCAAACGTGAAACTCGTCGGAATTTGATCCTCCATATCTCTCCAATAAACGCTGTTCTTTTCTTAGGTTACGTTACTTTGAGCAAAATAAACTTTAGTTACTCAGAAGTCACACAACCTTGTCGACTGAAAGATTAGGGTTCGGAGGACAATTTGAGGAATATAAGATGACGTGGTGGAAGTAACTTGGCTGTATATATATAGTACGTGGCCCATGGGCTTACTTAATTAAAATGGTAAAATAAATTGGGAGGAAGTTCACAATCCCACATAGGATTATAAGAATCGATCCGAGTACAGATGAAAAATCTGTTTAGACAAATCAATAATGTCATAGAACCTTGTTTCATGTGCGTTAGTTCTGTTTTCGTTTCATATCAACCAGTACGTGTCTTGAGGCGCTATACGAGAGCATCTACAGTTAAAAAGGCACTTTACATTATCTTTTATATTTACGACTCAAATCGTTATATTTATGAGTAGAAACCCAAGTTCTTATTAAAAGATTTAATTTTCTATGGCAACTACATTTTTGTTGCGTCTCTGTTGTACCATCATTTTGTAGCTGTTGTTGTTCCGTATAAATTAATCAAGCGGAGGAAATAACGAGTACTTGAATATGAAAGACTTGTGACGCAAGACACCAACCGGGACGTTTCATATAGATTGTGGAGGTATATGCGCTACAATGGACTTGGAGCAAAGTTAAAAATAAGAAGCTGATGTGGAATAAGAGTCGGTAAGAAGTTGTAACTTCTTTTGTAAACTTCATGTTTTAGCCCTGTAGATTCGATCAGTACTAAGATTCTGATTTGAGCTCGTTGGAAAACGGAGGACTTTAGCAACTACACGTTTTAATTCTTAGGTTTCAGCTTCTGCTAGATTTATCAGCCAGAGTGTATCTCTTTAACAAAGTACATGGACCTATCACAAGACACGTCAATGAAACAGAATCCTGAGATACGGAGTGTGAGTTTTTGACACCTCCAAGATCTGACCGAAGTTAGAAAAACATACCTAAATTTGTGGAAGAACTATTGAGAGCTTTATTTCAGCTTCTTGTTTTCAGCTCATTTTTAAGTTCCGACACCGTCTGCTCCAACAACGAGAATTTAGCAGCAGATTTGGCCTTCTCCATGTTCATTTCAGCTTTGAGATTCTTGATTTGTTCCTCAAGTTCTTGGACTCTAGCACCATTGACAGCATTTGCTTTCTTCCTCTCCAAGGTAACCTCATCGAGCTTAGTCTTCAACCAGTCTAGCTTGAAACCTGCTTCTGTTAGATCCATCAACTCGCTGTGAGCGTTGCTTAGCTCAGTTTCGGAGATGCTATGTGGAGGCTTGTTCAGCATCTCGATAAGACCGAGGAAGATATTCATGTAAGTTGTCTTCACCAGTTGGATTTTTGATCTGAAGTTTACTGCCATGTCCGGGTGCTTCACCAAAAGCCTACTCACTAAATTAGCCTGTAAACAAGAGAAAGATTCAATTATGTTAACGACAAAGGGAATCAATTAGATAAAAAAGAAGCATCTTTATAATTAAATCATACCCGAGAATGAAGGACTTGGAAACCCTTGACATCTAACGTCTCATTCCCACTAACAACTCCTTCATCAACAACTTCAACTACTCTTACTTTGACTTTAACGATCAGTTTGTTCTTCTCGAGAATCATTTTCTCTTGAAGCTCTTTAAGAGGCACTGCCCTTGGAAAACCCCATCCTGTGAGCTCAGCGCAAAACAAGATGCTCGATAATTCTGCAAGATAAAACGAGAATGATTTATGTTACTTTTCTTCTTCATCAATTGATATCAGATATCTAACTACATGAAAGATAATTTAATTACCATATGTTCTGAAGAGCTCTTTGCCTGATTGATTCAACAGAACAAAGGAAAAATTGGCTCGTCTTTTCCACCCAAGTCGCAAAGATTCAGGATTCGCAACATAGAGGTAGAGAGACAAGTGATCATCAACAAGATCTCCTTTAGGATAAACGTTAACAACCCTAAAAATACAAAGGAAATAGATTAGCCAAACGCTTTAGTTGTACACCTTAATATAATAGACATGTACATATATAATCTTTGCCTTCACCATTCGCAGCCGCCACTTAAGAATTTTGGAGATTGTATGAGATCTTCCTTCTCGGAGAAGTTATCTATCTCAAACGTTAAACTCATCTGCTTGTGATCCTCCATATCTTTCCCAAACATTTTTCTTTTCTCAAGGCTTTATTGATTTTGGGGATAACTTTTTAGGCTTTGCTTTTTGAGCAAAAGACGATTTTTGATTACTCTCACAAACAGTAGACTGAAATTAGGGTTAACAAGACAATTTGAGGAATATGAGATGACGAAATGCACGTGACTTGACCATGGCCCATGGTTCACATAATTAAAATGATAAAACAAATTTGGAAAAATTTCAGATCTTATTATATAAATTATTTTTATATACTTACTACATATATATATATATATATAAAGTTGAATGTGCAGGGCGTAGTCGCGACATTTTTATAAATTCATATGATTTTTGCGACATGTTTTTTTTTTGAATTCTGAAAGTATCAAGATTATGAGTCAAAAAAAAAAAAAAAAAAGATGTTTAAAAAAAATATTCATATCCTAACAGAAAAATGTTTATATTCTAACAGAAAAAACAGTATTTATGCATGTCATATTCGGAAAAAAAAATCCATATTTTAACGGAAAAACGAAAATACATACAGTAAAAACTCTATTAATTAATAAATTTATGGTTTTAATATTTATTAATAGAGTTATTATTTTTGTTTTTTGGATTATCAAAAGATTTTGGACGGAATTCTATAATGTGTTTAATCACCTAATACATTCATTTTTAGATTGGATGATTTGTTATATTAGTCAAAGATGGGATGATGTTATGGTATTTCCTTGGTGGCATCACATAATTGATATATGCATATGGGCCAAAACAATATATTCAAACTTTCTAAATTATTCTTGTAGTCAAACTTTCTTTACCTATCTGCCATATTTGAAAATATTCCTTACACAACAATCTACCCCAACTTTTTTTTTTCTATTTATTCACGGAAACAAAGTTCTCAGTTCCACACAATCCAAATACACATAACACAAGCTAGTCTTTTTTGTTGTTCTTAATCTTCGAAGAAAATGAATCAAAAGCAAACTAAAGTGATCTTCTTCTTGTTGGCCCTAATCTCGGCATCAATGTTCCGACAATCAGAAGCAGCTAAGCTGGCCTTTTGTCCAATAGCCGAACTCGAGAAGGTGGCAGGATGTCACGATTCGTTGAAATTAGCGGCGGATAGAGATTACAGATGGCTAAGAAATGATTGTTGCGTACTAGTGCACTCATTCTTCTTAAAGGATCCACAATGCCAAATTGCTATCTTGCCTGGCAGAGCTGCAGACGACAGTTTGCCTGTCATCGTTTTCGAAGACATTTGTACAGGTCTCGGAAGAACTTATTAACGTTTTTTGTACCCCATCTCATAATAATATAATAAAAAGTGATTACATTTTTTTTACTTTTTGATCTTTTTACGTTTAAACATAGTTAGCTTGACCGATGAAAATTTAAGTGAATCTATTTCTTAAAACGGAATCCATATATGTAATGTAAGTGAATCAAAACGCTATTAATACCCACATTTCTTGTAGTGATTGTATCTTTTTTCACAAGTAATCTATGCAAATGATCAATCATTAGAAATTTAGAATTGTTGGAACCAAATTTGTGAAGACTTGTGACGCAAGGCACCTACCGAGGCATTTCATATAGATTGTGGAAGTATATGTGGTACGCTAGCAAGAAGAGGGCAGAGAAGGACTTGGAGCAAAGTTGAAAATGATAAGTTGACGTTGAATAAGAAAGTTTTGCTGTGCAACTGAATTTGTCAATCATCCATATGCTACAATAAATACTGCGAGAGATGAAGATCATGAAACATTCATTTTGATTTTTGAATAAAAAACTTTATAATTATTGAATATTTCAGGGATACATGACAAGATTTGACCTTCTACTCTGAGATCAAAACAATTAGAAAATACCTAAATTTCCAGGAGAATTAGCGAGTGTTCTTGTTCGACTCAGCTCTGATATCTGTGAAATGGTACGCAGCGTATGCTCCAACGACACAACTTGAGTAGCGTAGGTAGAAGATTTCATCTTCTCCCTGTTCAGTTCAGGTTCGAGATTCTTGATGTGTTCCTCGAGTTCTCGGACTCGAAAACAATCAGCATTTGCTTTCTTCCTCTCCAAGGAAACCTCATCAAGCTTTGTCTTCAACCAATCTAGGCTGAATCCTGCTTCTGTTAGATCCATCAACTCGCTCTGAGCGTTTCTTAGCTCAGTCTGTGTGATGCTATGTGGAGGCTTGTTAAGTGACTCTATGAGACCGAGAAGGAGATTCATGTATGTTGTCTTCACCAATTTGTTCTTTGGTCTAAAACTCACGGCAATGTCAGGGTGTTCCAAGAAAAGCCTACTCACTTCCATAGCCTGTCAACAAGAGAAAGAAGAAATTATGTTAACCAGAAGAATAAATCAATTTAAGAAGAAAAGAAGAAGAAGCATCCTTATAATTAAATCATACCTGAGAATAAAGAACTCGGAAACCGTAGACATTTAAGGTCTCATTACCAGTGACAACTCCTTCATCAACAACTTCAACTACTTTTACTTCCACTTTAACTAGAAGTTTGTTCTTCTCCAAAAACCCTTTTTCTTGAAGCTTTTAAGAGGCAAGGCTTTTAGCTTCCCCCGTCCTGAGAACTCTGCGCAGAACAATTGGCGCGTTGATTCTGTAAAACAAAACCAGAAAGACTAATTCATCATATAAATATTCCTCCTCGAACTTATATGCACAGTTTACATCTGATAAGTTAAGTACCAGCTGTTTTGTGGAGCTCTTTGCCTGATTTATTCAATAGAACAAAAGAAAACGTAGCTCGTCGTTTCCATCCTAGTCGCAATGATTCAGGATTCGCCACACAAAGGTAGATAGACAAGTGATCATCAACATTATATCCTTTGGGAAATAACTCAACATACCTTAAAAGAAAAAAAAGAAAAAACCATATAAACTAAACACTCAGTTGTAACCTAATAGCAGAGACGCTCTAGAGGATGAGTTAAGAAATCAAAATTAAGCACACAGTATATGTAATCTTCTCTTTTACCATAAGCAGCCACCGCTTAAGAATTTTGGAGATTGTAAAACAGTTTCCTTATCGGAGAAGTTATCTATCTCAAAAGTAAAACTCGTTTGCTTATGATCCTCCATATCTCCCCCAAAACACTTCCTTTCTTAGGGTTTGTTACTTGGAGCAAAAGACGACTTTAGTTTCTCACAAACTTTGTCGATTTAAATTAGGGTTTCCAGGACAATTTAAGGAAAAAGATTACGAGATGCACGTGTCTCTGCCATGGCCCATGGGCTTACTTAATTAAAAAGATTCATCATACTGTATTGCGTTCGTAACGATCTCTTATTCTTCTTCTCACAAATCATATTATTTCTCTAGGTATTAAACCAATCTATCATATCGTTTCTCTGCTACTCCCTCTGTCCCATATTATAAGGCATCCAGATACATCCAAAAAATTGCAGATTCATTATGCCAAAACAGCTTATATTATGGGACAGAGGAAGTATGGAATAATAATACGGGGGTGTATTGGAAAATAGAGGGCCTGATTGGTTGTGACTGTAGCTTTGAATTTTTTGTTGTAGAATTTATGCTGTAGAAGTTTTGGCTGTGATTGTAGATTTTAGTGCTGTAAGATTTTTTATTGTAGATTGTGGCATTAAATACAGCATTAAAACAAAAAAATAAGATATAGAAATAATAGATTAAAAAATAAATGTTGAAAACATAATAAGGAAAGAGAAAAGAGAAAATTCTAAGAGCACTTAATTTTGTGCTCTAGAAAAATTGCTTTCCAAAGCCATGGAATTTCCATAAACAAAAAAAATTGCTAATCGTTTCAAAAATGGAAAGAGATGAAATGAGAGCTTGATTGGTGATTTTGGATTGCTCTACAGAGATTTAGTGCTTTGTAGAGCAATCACAGCTCCTACCAATCATCCCCAGATTTTAAAGATTTTAGGTGATTTTGACTTTTGAGGTTTTTTTAAAAATCACTGTTATTCAAATAAGGATTTTTAAATGTCATTTCAAATTCAGTGTTATTGAATATGGAGTTGTAGAAAGATCATTTCAAATCACTTATCAAACCCTGTTATTGAATTAGTCATTTGTAAATCTTAAATCAAATCCATTGTTATTCAAAACTAAACAACTATTTGGGGAAAAACTTGTCATAGGATTTTTTAGAAGATTTGATAACCATTTTGGGTCAAAAATACACACCCCGAAAATAACACCTTAGGAGGTGTGATTTGAGAAAAGCTATTTAAAAAAATCAAAAGAAAAATAGACAAAGAAGCATCGTCGTGAAACCTATCTCCCTTCCGCCGCCTAAGTTTGACGATGAACTCGACGGTGATGAAATTGCAGCTGATGTGCCCCAGAAACCAGTGGGGATTCCTCGAAAGTATGTTGGGGGTACAGTCAGAGTTAGAGTTCCGGCCAATTCGCGTCGGAAGGCCCAAATCGGAAACGGGAAGCTTAATGAAAAACAATGTTCAGTTTAATGTACCTGCTAAACAATCGAAGGCTCAATTAAAGTATAAGAAAAGATAAAACTGGAGTTTATACAAATTTTGTATGGTGTTGTATTCGATGAAATTGCTGGGAACGAATGGTTAGTTTCAGGTTTAGACCTGCAGAAATTTTGATTTTTGCCTATAACTCTTTTTAGGAGGAAGATGATCGAGAAGCTTCATGGTTCTCCAAAATACTGGAAAACTTTGTTTAAAATATTGATCTTTATAGTAAACCAAACACATTAATATTGCAGTTGGATATGCTTTAAGAAGAAAACGATAATATACTTGCTCGTTGCAAGGTTTTGTCTCAACTTCCCTTTGTTATCTCTTCTCTGTTGCTATTCGATTGCAAGTTCTTTATTTATGTTTGTGTGACTTTTGTTGTTTTGTTCCCTTTGCTATGTCTGCTGCTAAGTATATTAGCAAGGAACATAATTTTTCAAAGTAAAAGTGTAATGGTGATAGGCCATGGTTAGGGCTAAATGGTTTGGTATTGGTTTTGGTTTGTGTTCTTTTCATAGTTCTTGTGAATGGAGATGGTGAAGAAGAAGATGATGAATAGGAAGAAAGAGATGATTGGAGAAGAACAAAGAAGCATGGAAAAACAGGAACAAGAACATGGAGAAGGTCTCAGCATCCGTTGTTGCTGCCATTGTTGCTGCTTCTTCTGAGCTAGCTATTTCCCATAACCTAAAACTGTGGGTGATTTTTTGGTATTTTCTTCGATGGTTTCACTTAAGACCATCGAGTGTTGAATGTGTTCTAAATCCTTCAAAAGTCACTTACAAATTCTGAATCTCTTTAAAATCCCAACAGAATCACCCAAAATCCCCTTAAAATATTTTCTTATCTCCTAAAATCCCACCATAATCTTTTCAACTCTCCTAAAATCTCTTTCAACCATCTATAAAATACAAAATCATTCAAAATAACCTAAAATCTTTAAAATCCTTATTCCAATACACCCCCCCGTAACATTTTTTTTTTCGCATTATCAAAAACTCTTAGGCCGAAGTCCGTAATGTGTTTAGGCCCGGAACCACAAAATACATTCATTCAACTCACCAAAACAAAACAAAAAACAAATTACATTCATTCTTTTTTAGATGGGTTTTCTGCAAATTAACCCTTCAAGTGGTTTTTGTTTGCAAATTTACCCTCAACTCTAGAAAAATGCATATCAACCCATCAAGTTCGAATTAACCCGCAATATAACCCGTATCTAAAAATAAAAAGTTAAAATTTTTTTTGTATTCACGGGCAAGTTTATTACATGTATTCAAACTAGTTTTTTTGGTATCCACATACCAAGTTTATTAAAAGTATTATGTTTGAGTTAATTTATTCTATATATATGATTACAAAATTAAAGTGAATACATGACAAGTGTTTTATTATCTACATTGGATATTGGAAATTAAATATTTTTTTTTATTTCTTAAATAAAGGAGTCAGAGATTCTCTTCAATTCAAAAAAGAAGATGGAAAAAACCCTAGTTCGGTTCTATCTCAGTTGTTCGACCACATTAGACTTTTTGGTCTCCAAATCAAAGCCTAACACGTGGCTATGAAAACCAATAAGATTTTCAATTTCCTTTGTTATTTCTAACGATATGTTTTTTAAAATAATTTTTATTAAATACGTGGGTTATATTGCGGGTTAATTCGAACTTGATGGGTTGATATGCATTTTTCTATAATCGAGAGGAAATTTGCAAACAAAAACCACTTGAAGAGTTAATTTGCAGAAAACCCTTTTTAGATTGGATGATTTTATATTACTCAAAGTCAAAGATGAGATGAGATGATGTTATGGTATTTTCATCACATCATTGATATATGCATATGGGTAAAAAAAAATGATATCCAAACTTTCCAAATTAATCTTGTAGTCAAACCTTTTTCACCTAACTGCCACATTTGAAAGTAATCTCCCCCAATTTTTTGTTTTTTCTATTTATGTATTCAAGGAAACAAAGTTCTCAATTTCACATAATCCAAACACATAACAAAAGCTAGTCTCTTTTTTTTAAAAATATTCTAAGAAAATGAATCAAACTAAAGTAGTGATGTTCTTCTTGGTAGCCCTAATCTCGGCATCGATATTCCGACAATCAGAAGCAGCTAAGGAGACCTTTTGTCCGACAGCCGAAATGGATAGGGTGGCAGGATGTCACGATTCGTTGAAATTAGCGGCGGGTAGACATTACAGATGGCTAAGACATGATTGTTGCGTGGTAGTGCACTCATTATTTTTAAAGGATAAACTTTGCCAAATTACTATCTTGCCTGCCCAGGGCGACAGTTTGCCTGTCCTTGTTTTCGAAGACATGTGTATAGGTCTCGGAAGAGGTTATTAGTATTTTTTGTGTATTCCATCTCATAATAATACAATATACTACTAAAAAATTATTACATTTTTTTTTGTACATTTTAATATTTTTTTACGTACAAACATAGTTAGTTTGACGGATGAAAATTTCAGTTTAAAAAGTCAATTTCTTAAAACGACATGTATGTGTTTACATTGTATCTTGTGTCACAAGTAAGCTATGCAAAATATCAATCATTATAAATGTTGGAACCAAATTTGACCAAATGGTTTTGCCAAATTTCCGACTAGTTTTCCGGTAAAAACATATTGAGATATATTCAAATCTACTTGTTAATGTATAGTTTCCTATTTAGTTAGGGTTAATATAATGTCGGTTCCTTGTGTATGTATATATACTTTGGGCATTGCCTCTTATGAAGACAAGTTAAGTTTTCCGATTCTAAGTTTGTTATGGTATCAGAGCACGACCAAGCATAATTTTCAGATCTTCTCGTACTCGCGAGGGATCCATACTTATTTTTTTTTTCTCTCCTTCTTCTTTGACCTTAATCAAGTGATTTCTCTTTCACACTTGATTTCTTTTGTTCCTCTGTTTTTTTTAACTCCAAAACAGAGCATCTCTTTGATCCGACACGATGACCAACAATAACCCAAAATACAAGACGATCTCTCCTTTTGACTTGAGCGCCAGTGACAATCCCGGCGCGGTGATTTCGCAGCCGCTACTCAACGGTTCGAACTATGATGAATGGGCTCTCAACTTTCGTGTGGCCCTAAGTTCACGAAAGAAATTTGGTTTTTTGGATGGAAGCATCCCAAAGCCAGCTCCTAATTCTGCTACTCCAAGAGCAAACATCACACAAATCACTACAGCCAATACCGCTGCGATCGGTGAACCATCTACAATTACTGAGAGTGACCGTGAAGGTCTTAGTGGCTTAACTGATGATCAATGGGCTGCTGTACAACGATTACTTAATGCTGGAAAATCATCTCCGAATATGAGTGGTAAGAACAACGTTTTCTGGATACTTGATACAGGAGCAACACACCACATGACGGGTTGTCTTGATCTTTTAGAAGACATTCGTGACATAACACCAATTTCTGTTATATTACCTGCTGGAGCAGATACTGTTACACTGAAACAAGGAACAGTTCGTTTGACATCAAAACTGTCTCTACAGAATGTTTATTATGTTGATGGTTTTCATACCAACTTGATATCCTTTGGTCAGCTCGTCACTGACAATTATCTTGTGGGACAAGTTACTGATAAACTCATGATTTTACAGGACCGCACCACGAGGATGCTGATTGGAGCGGGTGAAAGAGAGGGAGAGGGACTGTACCGGTTTCGGAACATGGACAATGTGACTTCTTTACAGACCAGTGTTCAAGACAACTTAGTTTTATGGCATCACCGTTTAGGCCATCCTTCACTTCCGGTCACTGGTCTTATTCCTGGTGTTTGTACTTCTTCTACTAGCAATAATAGTGAGCTTTTGATTAAGAGTTGTGATACGTGTTTTAGAGCAAAACAGACACGGCAATGTTTTCCTGATAGTTTAAATAATGCGAAAGAGAGTTTTGATTTAATCCATTGTGATTTATGGGGTCCGTATCGTACCACAGCTTTTTGTGGCTCCCGTTATTTCTTAACAATCGTGGATGATCATTCAAGAGCTGTATGGTTATACCTTCTTCCTGATAAAACATTGGTTTCTCAACAGCTTCGAGATTTTGTGGCCATGATTGAACGACAGTTCTCTAAGAAAGTAAAACGAATCCGCAGCGACAATGGCACAGAATTTCTTTGTCTTACACGTTTTTTTCAGGAAAAAGGGATTCTACATGAGACTTCTTGTGTCTACACTCCTCAACAAAATGGTCGGGTTGAGCGGAAACATAGACACATACTCAACATTGCTAGAGCTCTCCGATTTCAAGCACATCTTCCGATCGAATATTGGGGAGAATGTGTACTTACTGCCGGTTACTTGATCAATCGCACTCCTTCGATATTACTCAAGAACAAGACTCCTTTTGAGGTACTTTATGGTCATCCCCCTGGATACAAACACTTACGTGTTCTTGGCTGCTTAGCATATGCTCACAACATCGATCATAAAGGTGATAAATTTACATCTCGAAGTCGACGATGTGTGTTTTTGGGATATCCATATGGAAAAAAGGGCTGGAAATTGTATGATTTGGAACGAGAAGTGGTTTTTGTCTCCCGTGATGTTGTTTTTCAAGAAAATATTTTTCCGTTTGCCGATACGGATTCGATCGCAACACCGATTGCACAAAGGCCAGAGCCTCCTTTGTTTCCAGTTACAGCTGAGACTGATGATGATGTGGTACCGTTAACACCACCAGAAGCTGAAGATGACCACATTGAAGAAGTTACTCTACCGAATATTCATACCACTCCATCTCCTGCTGTTGAAACTCATGGCCGAGGACAACGAACTAAACGTCCTTCTACACGATTACATGACTATGTCGTTGGTGCAGTCACTACTAAGCCTCTCTCTCCTCTCTCTTCACCTTCTCCACCACCATCCTCAGGTTCGTTGTATCCTCTTTGTAACTTTGTCTCCATTGAACGTTTTTCTCCTAACCATCGTAAGTTTTTGGTGGCTTTGGCAACTAATATTGAACCGAGAACTTTTGCTGAGGCAATGAAACATAAGCATTGGGAAAAGGCTGTTGATCGTGAAATAGATTATCTTATCGAGCTTCAAACATGGAGACTCGAAGAATTGCCTCCGGGAAAGAAAGCACTTGATTGTCATTGGATCTTCACGATCAAGTATCAATCTGATGGGGAAATTGAACGTCACAAAGCACGATTAGTTGTCAATGGCAATGGTCAAGAAGAGGGATTTGATTACAAAGAAACCTTTGCCCCAGTTGCTAAAATGACTACGGTACGTGTCTTTCTTGATCTTGCGGCAAAACTGAATCATGAAGTACATCAGATGGATGTACACAATGCTTTTTTACATGGAGATTTACATGAAGAGGTGTATATGAAACTTCCTCAAGGTTTTAAATCTGATGGAGAAACACGGGTTTGTCGTCTCCAGAAATCACTATATGGTTTAAAACAAGCTTCTCGATGCTGGTTTGAAAAACTCAGTACCGCACTTTGTGCATATGGTTTTAAACAGACAAAACCAGATTATTCTCTCTTCACCTATGTCAAAGGCGATGTTCACCTCCGTATTCTGGTTTATGTTGATGATCTTATAATTTCTGGAAGCACCTCGGCAGCGATTCAAACGTTCAAAGACTACTTGTCTACTTGTTTTCATATGAAGAATCTCGGACCCGTCAAATACTTTCTTGGCATCGAAGTCGCACGCAATCCCACCGGTATTTACTTGTGTCAGAGAAAGTATGCAACAGATATTGTGGAAGAGATGGGGTTACTTGGATGTCGTCCAGCCAGTTTCCCTATCGACCAAAACCATAAACTTGCTTTGGCTGATGGAGATTTCCTTGCTGATCCAGAGACGTATCGCCGCTTAGTTGGACGTCTTATATATTTGGCTGCTACACGACCGGATCTCACTTACTCAATCCATATATTATCTCAGTTCATGCATGCTCCTCGAGTTGAACATTGGTTTGCAGCATTGAAAGTGGTTCGATATATCAAGGGTACACTTGGGCAGGGAATTCTTCTTCGTGCTGAGTCTCCACTTCATCTCACGGGTTGGTGTGACTCCGACTATGCTGCTTGTCCATTGACTCGGAGATCTCTCACAGGATACATTGTTCAACTTGGTGATTCTCCAATCTCGTGGAGGACTCAAAAGCAAGACACGGTTTCTCGCTCGTCGGCGGAGGCGGAATACAGAGCAATGACAGAAATTACTTCAGAGTTACGATGGCTCAAGGCACTCCTCTTGGAGTTTGGAATAGAACACAAAGAACCTATGTCACTTATGTGTGATAGTAAGCCTGCTATACACCTTAGTGCCAATCCAGTTTTCCATGAAAGAACAAAACATGTTGAGGTAGATTGTCATTTTGTTCGAGATGATATCGTTGCTGGTCTTATCAAGCCTATTCATGTATCAACAAAGGATCAGCTTGCAGATATTCTCACCAAAGCTTTGGGACGAAAAGAGTTTGACACTTTTCTTATCAAGTTGGGCATTCATAACTTGTATGCTCCAACTTGAGGGGGAGTATTGAGATATATTCAAATCTACTTGTTAATGTATAGTTTCCTATTTAGTTAGGGTTAATATAATGTCGGTTCCTTGTGTATGTATATATACTTTGGGCATTGCCTCTTATGAAGACAAGTTAAGTTTTCCGATTCTAAGTTTGTTAAAACATTCACCAGAATGACTAGATAATGAAAGCGTGAGAAACATTGCAGTGAGTAATATAAACCCACATGCATGTCAAAATAGTATAAACCCACATTTCTGATCTTTTTGTGGTGTGTCCAGAAAACTCATAGTACTGTTTAAAAGAAAATCACTAGTAATTAAAATTATTAAGCAATTATTTAAACTTTGATATTACAAAATGGCACAACTAATTATAACTGTATACAAAGTTCAACTAATAAATACATTGGAAATCATGTCAATACAGAACTTTGTATTCCATATGACATGTTAACTAAATTTTAAGGAAAACCAAAAGATAACTAGTTAACTACACAGTTATTTATTTAGAAACTGAATTTATAAACCAAAAGATAACAACACAGTTATTTATTTATAAATTAAACTGTATTTTACTCTATTTTTTCATTACGAAGATCAGCAAATCTGAGTCTTGCTTTCAATTCATTCCAAGAGTGAACAACAGCCTCTCGCAAGTCTTTAGCAGCCTTGCGCAAGAATTCAGTATCGGTTTTTATCTGCTCATCACGCAGCTCATCATCCAGCTCCCATAGGAGCCCACGCAACGACCAATATTTCTTGTCATACTTGGCCTTCTCCTTTTCCATTTCAACTTCGAGATTCTTGATGTGTTCCCTAAGTACTTGGACTCGACACACATCACCATTTTCTTTCGTCCACTCCAAGGAAACCTCAATAAGCTTTTTCATCAACCAATTTAGCTTGAAGCCTGCTTCTGTTAGCTCGAGCAACTCGCTAAGAGCGTTGTTTAGCTCAGTCTCAGATAAGCTATCTGGAGGCTTGTTCAGTGTCTCGATGAGACCGAGGAGGATATTCATGTATGTTGTCTTCACCAGTTGGTTCTTTGTTCTGACATTCACTGCGAAATCCGGGTAATTCCTGAAATGCTGGCTCACTGAAGCAGCCTGTCAACAAGTAATATATGTAATTATGTTAGCCAGAAAGGGGATGAATTGAATAATTTTTTTTTTTTAACATCCATATAATTAAATAGTACCTGAGAACAAAGAACTTGGAAACCATGAAAATCAAATGTCTCATTACCAGTGACAACTCCTTCATCAACAACTTCAACTACTTTTACTTCCACTTTAACTCTCAGTTTGTTCTTCTCCAAAACCCCATTTGCTTGAATCTGTTCAAGAGGGAAACTCCAACCCCATCTTGATTTCTGAGCAAAGAACAAGCTGCATGATTCTTTAAGAGGAAAACATAGAGATTACTTTAAAATTTGCTTCATCAATAATTTATATAAATATATAGTATACGTCTAATTAGCTAATTACCAGATGTTCTCTGGAGCTCTTTGCATGATTGATTCAATAGTGAAAACGAAAACCTAGCTCGTCTTTTCCATCCAAGTCTCAATGATTCAGGATATGCAACACCGAGGTCCAGACACAAGCTTTCACAAGCACTATCAACTCTGGTAGAAACCACAATTAACCTAGAAAAGAAAAGATAATCAGATTAACTAAACGATTAGTTGTAGTTGTACACCTAGTAACAGAAACAAGTCATTTATTAAATCAAACCTATATATATATATATATATATATATATATATATATATATATATATATATATATATTTCCTTTACCATTCGCAGCTGCCGCTTGAGAATGTTGGTGATGATATCGCAGTTCCTTTCTCGGAGAAGTTATCTATCTCAAACGTGAAACTTGTCCGCTCTTCATTCTCCATATTATATTCTTAGGCTTTGTTTTTTTTAGTCAAAAGAAGACTTTCTCACAAACTTTTTTTTAATACTTCACCCATAAAACCCAAATGAAATATCAAAATATATGATTTGTGAAACTAAAATTTATAATAAAAAAATTCTTACAATTAAGTTAATGTAGGAAAGATAAATTATGTAATCTACGTGCAATAATTTTTTAATAATTAAAAGATATGATTTCTGGTTTTATACTTTAAGATATAAATCCGCAATAAAAAAAATTCTGCTTTAAGAAAAATAAAAATAATTAAAAATTTCTTTACAATTAAGTAAATGATATATCATATTATTATGTGAAGTTAATTTTTAATAGTAATTGATGATGAATTAGAAGAATATTTGTGAGGAAGTAAGATGTACATTAAGAAATTTGAGTGTGTGAAAGTATATTTATATATTTTTCAGTTTTAAAAGTGAGAGATTTTTTAAAAATCTCTTAAGGCTATGAATTTTACTTTAAAAAAATTCATAAAATTTAAAATCTAAATTTAAAAGTGAATTTATTAAATTTTATTTTTTTATACATACCATCTCATAAGAATACAATATAATATACTAATAAAAAAGTGATTACATTTTTTACTTTTTAATCTTTTTACGTACAAACATAGTTAGTTTGACGCATGAAATATTCAGTTTGAAAAAGTGAATATTAAAACGAAATCCATATTTGTATGTGTTTACATTGTATCTTGTGTCACAAGTAAACTATGCAAAAGGTCAATCTTTAGAAATGTTGGAACCAAACTTGACGAAATAGCTATTCCCAATTTTCCGACTAGTTTTTACCGAAAACATTCACCAGAATGACTAGATAATGAAAGCGTCGGAAACATTGAAGTGAGTACTATAAAACCACATGCATGTCAAATTAATAGGATTCATGTTAGGTGGGTAAATTGGTTTTCTAAAAACGTGGACTTCGATTCACGTTTATGAATTTGTTTTTTATAAACAAGTTCCTTTTTGATCTTTTAATTTGTGGTGTGTCTAGAAAACTCATAGTACTGCCCAACTTTTAAGATATTTTTTGTGTTTAAAAGAAAACTTGGTGCTTAGTTCGGTATAATAAGTTTAGTTTTTAGAAATTATTAATACTTGTTTTTCATTTAAATATAAGAACCAATTATATTTTGGTTTTGTTCTTTTCTGAACTTACCAATTTAAAACTAATTGTTGGTATAGAATTTCAACTTTGATCAGATATATATATAAGCCAGTTCATTGATTTCTTTACCGGTACGCTTAAGAAACACGTACACGTCCTTGGACCAAATCGTTACACTTGTCTTTGTAGTCTGAACTCCATGATACGTCATGAGAAATTATGTACTCAAATTAGTCATCAGTGCAGTCTGATTTAATTTTCTGGCAAACATGAACAAAGTTTCTTTATTAATCACTATCACCCCAAAACCAAAACCAAAAATAAAGAGAAAAACAATTTCTTTGACAACAAGCAATAAGATCACCCACATCTGCATTTCCTTCTTGAATCTATCAGTCTCTTGAATCTCTCTTATGGTTTTCTTATCCCCAGAATAGTAAATCATACTTTACATTGACGACAATAACAACAAAATTAGTGTTTACTTTTAAGTTTTAATATCCTTGTACCAAGTACCAACAGATGTTATTCTTTTGACATCCTCCTCAAATCAGTACATTAATCAATCATCAATCTCAAAAATCTAAATTTTGGAAGAAGATCAATTAAATGTTTGTGTTACCTCTTGGAAGAAGAGAACGTAGCCTTGAAGTGCTGAATGAAAAAAGATGAGAACTCAAAGAGAGAGAGAGAGAGAGCTTATTAGAGGAAAGAAGATATCATCACCGATCACAAATCTGTGATTAGCTCAAATCACTCAATCACATATTCACATTCATTGTAAAGATATTGAGTTACCTTTTCTTGTACAATCCCTCATTGTAAAGATATTGAGGTGATAAACTCTCTCTCTATAGAAGGAAGCCAATTAAAAATTTAGAATGATATATTAAAAAAAATTATAGTTTTAGAGTATTAAATTATCGGTTACCTAGGTGGCTAGGTCACCTGAACTTATTTACAGTCTTAGTAATATATAAAAAGATGATGGTCCTATTCAAATCAGTTTTACTGGATCGATGACAAGTGGGGAGAATAAGCGGTAGCAGCGCAACTCCTTCACTTGTCCCAGTGAGATTGATCCAAATGTTCCATCACCCTCAGGGATGACCCTATTGTCTCCACTTGGATCACAAGCTCAAGTTACTGAGCTCGACATTTAATATTCATGAACTAAGCTTATATATACAACAACGAAAAACGTATTTGTTTCAATGTGGGACTCTTCGTGAATACCATATCAAATCAATATCAAGTTACGCTTTTTTTTTTGTCTCTCTAGATTGTGTACCTATCAGATCCAGTTTTGCTTTAGTTTGAAACGAACATCATGAATAAGACCGTGCAGTCAAATCAAGATAAGTCTCACTAAGGAACCACTTGAAGACAAATTCTTCACACATAGCTTGACGGTCAAGCCTTGACCTATGTGTCAATAAAAGCTTTAAAACACTATGAAAACCCTTTAGCTACTTCTTCAACAATCAAACAAATGGAGAAACATTCAACAACTTGCCACTCATATGCTCATATGATCCTCCCTTGGAAAGCTCTGAACAGTATCTGACCATCTTCCAGGCGAATGATCACTGCTGTAAGATGAGTACGGTGCTGCTTCGGCTCTTGCATCCTTCACCATCTTCAACACATCTCTCATCACAGGCCTGTTTTCAGGCCGAACAGCCACGCAAGCAGTGGCTATGCTCAAAAGAGCTTGAAGTTTCTCCTCACAAGAACTCATCTCCTCTCCTGAATCTGTCTCTGCCTCTCTCACCGCACGCACCCATCTCGAGATATCAGACACGTGTAGGTCCTGGAACGAAGCTTTACCTGTTAGAAGCTCAAGAAGGAGGACACCAAAGCTATAGACATCAGCTGGTTGTGTCGAGGCCTTGCGCAAGTCTCTACACTCTGGAGCTTTGTAAAAGAGAGAAGCTGCTACACTTGTGTTGTCTTCAACTAAGTCATCATGACCATGAAGGTCGCTAAGACCGTAGTCTGTGAGGCAAGACTCGAAATCAGGACCTAACAGAACATTAGATGACTTCAAGTTCCCATGTGTCAAGCCAGGATTCTGATGAATGTAGACTAAACCCATTGCTAAATCCTCTGCTATTTTTAGACATGATGTCCAGTGAAGTGGCTTCCCACTCCCTGAAACCTTACTTCCTGCAAACAAAACAAGACACAGATGAGAACACAAGAGAGAACCAAAGTACATGGATCTTGTGTGTGTGTCAAGAACTAATCTTGTGTGTCAAGAAACATACCATGGATAAGAGAGAAGAGACTTCCATTAGGGAAGTAGTCATAAACAAGCAAACACTCTTCTTTAGCTTGGAAATAAGCTCTAAGAGGAACAAGATTATGGTGCTTGAGCCTTCCAAGAATCTCAATATGTCTCTTGAATGCCTCCATTTGAGGAAAGCCAGAGTCTTTGAGTCTCTTTACCGTGACGATGAAGCCAGACTCCATCACCGCCTTGTAAGTGCTTCCCAACGTTCCTCTTCCCAACGTTTCAGCTGAAGCTTTGAGTAGATCATCCATGGTGTACCTCATGATGTCTGATTCACTTCTTCCCAAGAAAACCAGAGTCCCCACTGATTCTTTCTCTTCGCTTCCTCCTCTCTCCCATGAGAAGCTTTTGTTTTTCCGGTCACTGGTGGTGGTGCCTCCTCCTTCTGACTCTGCCACGGCTTTGCTTCTCCTCTCTTCTCTCTTGGGTTTGCTTCTTCGGAGTCTCTGTACCAAACATATTAAAAGCAATGGAACAAGAAGTAACAAAATTCCGCCACCGATGCTCCCTGCAATGATTCCAATGAGCTCTGTTTTGCTCTGCTTTTTGGCTACAGGAATCGCCGACGGCTTCGAAGTTTCATTCTTTTGTCTGCATGAGTTTTGAATCTGATCGCCGCAGAGAGCAATGTTACCGGTAAACGACGACTCATTGAACTGACTCAGCGATCTTGTCGTTGGGATTTGGCCGGAGAGGTGATTGTTGGAGACGTTCAAGAATCTGAGAGTTTCTTGGTTGAGAGGAGGAACAGAGCCGGAGAAGAGATTGTCCTGAAGGTAGAGAGTGTAAAGCCGGGAGAGACGGGTAAGCGAGGTCGGGATCTTGCCGGAAAACCGGTTTCTTGCAAGAACAACGGTTTTCAAGCGGTGGAGAGAGGTTAACGACTCAGGGAACTCGCCGGAGAAGTTGTTGTCGTTGAGGAAAAGCGATTTGAGATTGAGTAAACGAGAGAGGTTAGGGACTGAAGCAGAGAGAGAGTTGGATTTGAAGCTGAGAACTCTTAGCTGGTCTAATTGGTTTAGGCTCTTCTCGTCTAGTGAGCCAGTGAGGTTTAGATTCTCAAGAACAAGCTTTGAGACTCTTCTTCCGTTAATGCATTCTTTGACTCCTTCCCAGTTGCAGAGATCTGTTCCTTTCCATGGAATTGAGTTTGATGGATCAATGAATGATTTTAGAGTCAGAAGAGCTTCAACGTCGCTTGATCTCACCGGAGAAACCAAGTAGAAAGCAGTCATCACTATGAAGAACATAGAGAAAGAAGAAGAAGAAGAAGAGACCATTGTAGAATCAAATCCAAGAAGAATAAGAAAGTTTGAAACTTTATTAGAAACAAGAAGAGGGCATGATAGGATCAAATCAAAGAAGAAGAAAGTTTCAAGATTTGATGATTTGTAATGGCATGTATTATGGAAGTTGTTCTTGGTCACGGACATGAACAGCTAAGGATGTCACGTGAAGCCAATGCTTGTCCAAACTGTTTTTGTTATAGCAGAAGAAGAGCAGTGGGGAAGTTAAATCAAATCTCACTTGTCACATGAGTATGTTATTGTATTTTCCATATATGATACCTACACATATTTATACAAATGTACGTGATTCAATAATGGTTTTTAGTGGAGAGCAAAGGAATAAAAAATGGGAAGAAAAATAGTAAAGTTTTTGTCTTTTTTTCAGTATCAAATGTTTAAACTTTCTCAGGTTGGGGACAAATGCTGAGTACTGACTGGTTGAGAGAAAATGACAGAAGTGGAGGAGATGCAATAGATCAAATCAATGGTGATTTGGAGCAAAATAAGTTAAAGTAAACATACTTGTTGTATGTTCAGTTTAAGTAATCTTACTTTTTGGCTTCTTGCTTCAAGCAATTATTGAGTTAAATAACAGATATTTTTGGATTTCAACCAGCTTTACCAACTATTTGGTCCGTTACATGTATGTTTAGATTTGCAAAATTCATGATATTCATTCATGGTACAAATTACAATGCCCAAAACAGAGCATTGTCTCTGCCAAATCAGTAAAAGCAGCAATGTAATCTTGCATGATTAAGATAAAGAAATAACATGCCGTAGACAGATTAAAACTGCAGAAAACATCAAACACAAGAATTGTATAACTCCAAATATCAATTAAATAATCAAATCATATCTCAGTTACAAACACCATTTCTTGTAGACAAAACTTAAAAGTTATAAAAAGCACATAATCAACTCAAGAACCAGTCCATTTTCCTCCTATGTTTTCTTCATCTGATCATCGGTTTAATCCTTAGTTTGACGCATTTTCTTCCTAGATTTCTGCGTTGCATCTGTCTTTTCTCTGTCTGTGGTCGATGAAACCTGGATGTTCATATAAACAAAGGAACCTGTAAGGTTTTTGACAGAGCAAGCAATGGTCACAAGGTTACAGTAATGAGAAGGCTACTTTTACCTTTTCAGGTTTTTGTGATCTCATAGCCTCTCTTCGTGCTTTTCTGTTTCCCTTTACCTCCTGCTTCTCCTACATTGCAAGAATTTGGTTAGCACTCATCGGAAGTAGTCTCAAATCACTTGTTACCATTTGCTCAAATGTCAAAAAACAAAACAAAACCTGAGATGGCGTTTCTGGATCATCAGCTTTGACCTTTCCTTCTTTCCGTGACTTCTTACCCTTTCTTTGTGATCTTCTGTTCCCTTTTATCTCCTTCTCCTACATTCAAGAAACTTGATTAGCACTCATCAAAACAATTTGTTTTCATTTTCTCAAATGTCAAAAAGAAAAACCTGAGATGGCTTCTCTGTATCATCATCGACTTCTTCTTCTTCATCATCGCTTCTGAGCTTCTCTTCTTTCGCCAACTTCTCAGCACGAACATGCTTCTGAAATGAGTCAAATCAAAAAGAAACTTCTTGGTGACTAACTACAAGAGTGAAGCTATATATTCCATTGCTTTGCATCAATAAAGTTTGAAGCTTTTACCTTTGATGAAACATGAGCTTGCATTGTTGCTTCATTCAAGCAAACAACGTCTGGACAATATCTGCATTTGTAAACCGATTTGCGTTTAACCATACAACCTAGAATATAGTTCTCTTCCTCCTCTTCCGGTGGCTCTTCAGGAAAAGCATCACGATTCAGACTCATCATTGCCTTCTTAAATCTCCCAACATAGTCATCATCACCATTACCATCACCATCCTCATCATCATCTTCAACATCAGCATCGTCTTCTTCACCAGCTACAACAAAAATTTAAGCTAAGATTGTCAATTTCACTTCTTTTTTTAATTTCTCCAAACGAATCTCATCGAATTACAATTACAGCACAAGCTCGATTGAAGAAGCAAACCTGGAGATTCATCATCGTCGTCTCCTTCACCTTCTGAGACGGAATCATCATTGTCATCGGAGACTTCTGCAACGGCGTCTTCGGATCCGGATTCTTCCGATTCTTCAGTGTCCGGGTCAGAATCTGATGAGAAGCAAGACGAGTCGGATCCACTGTCTTTGTCACCATGCTCAAGCTTGTAAAATCTTCTCTTTATCATTTTTTCTCAATTCTGCAAAGATTAACCCCTGAAGTTATGAAATTGAACTTCTTCAAACGCAAAAGGACCAAACTTGGGATTAGAGTGAAGAGAAAAGAGGAGACTTTGTACCGTGAGTTTTCGCAGAGAGAGAGCTTGGAGACTGAAAAGGGGGAAGATTTTTGATAAAGAGGGTTTTAGGGTTTATAGGTTATTTTTGTAATTAAATGACATTTCTAAGGGTGTTTTAGTAATTGAGTACAACAATTTTCCCCAGCTTGTGTGTTAAAGGCTTTACACAGTCTGCTTCATTGTCCAGCAGTATTCAACGCAGAAGAAAGTTGTTACCTTTGGATTAGCGGTGAGTGATTAGGGTTCTTCAGTGCGAAATTTCTAGGGTTTCGTTCATTTCGTAGTTTCTGATAGAAATTTCTTGACTTGTTTGAGTAAGAGTTGAGAGTTCGGCTTCTCGGGACTGATTTTTGAAAAAGGATGAGTTTTTTTAAAGGTTTTTCGAGTTCGATTTTGTTTGCTAACTATGCTTATGCTTCTTTTTGTTTGTGTGCGTCTCTTTGGCTTCAGTGAGAGGTTGTTTGAAGGATGAAGGATAGAGAAAGCGAAGGAAGTCTTGACAACAGAATCTTCGTTGGAGGGTTGTCTTGGGATGTCACTGAGAGGCAGCTTGAGGATGCTTTTGACCGCTACGGAAAAATCAACGAGTGTCAGGTCTACTAATCGAATCTCCTTTCTTTGCTTTTGCTGCATACATTGAGTGATTGATACTAAACAGAAGATCAGAATCCATGAGACTCTGTGGTGTTTAGTGAATGATATCTTTGAGCTTGGATGGTGGTTTTGTTTCCATCATCTATTCTGTAGAAGAATTGGTTTGATGCTCAGAAATTTGGATATATCTGTCATGTTTTACTTCTAGTCATCTAGTGAGGTTTCTTGAGTTGTTGATGGATCATGGATGCAGTGGATGAGTTAGTAGAGCTTTCTTAGGAAGTAAATGCACATCTCTGCTCTGTCTCTTTGATTTGATCATATGTTTGAGAGCACTGTGTTTAGAAATACAAGAGTTTTGATAAAGATCACGTTCTGTAGAGTTTACTTCATCCCTTCCCTTAGCTATGACTCTTTTCTCAGCATCAGTGCAGTACTTTTGGTTTGACATGAGAGATTCCCAAGTAATTATCTGTTTTTCATTGGAATACATATTAGTTTGTCTTCCTGGCTTTAGACACCACACCAATCAATCAGGACTAATCAATCTTGTTTGTTAGCTGCTTTGTTCTGTAACAAGTAGTCAGGATAAGAGTGTACTCTCCAAAAATGGTTTCTTTGAGCAGCTATGCCGGTGTAATTGGAAAATGCATGACTGGATGAATGTTCTGTTAGATATCGGCATTGGCTTGATATAATTTCTTAGTGCAGTATGTTTGCTATACAGGCTTTATTGTTTGTGCATTACAAAGAACGATCAATAGTTTCCTTTTTGTTTATATATGAGTGGTTTTGTTTCTCTTTTTGAATTTCTTCTAGCTTGTCAATATAATATGTCCTGCATATAGGTTTTGTAACCAAGTCTCTCAATTACTTTCCCCAATGATCGCTATGTGTGATAGTCCCCAGTCTCAGGTTTCATAACATTATCAGCCTTTCTTTGTGTAATTGCAGATCATGGTGGAGAAAGATATTGGGCGTCCACGTGGTTTTGGGTTTATAACATTCACTGATCGCCGAGGAGCTGATGATGCAATTAAGCAAATGCACGGGAGAGAGTTGGGTGGTAGGGTCATCTCTGTGACCAAGGCTGAGCCTAAGGCTGGGGGAGATGATGTAGATAAGAATGGAGGCTATTCACCACGAGGGAAAGGAAGCTATGGAGGAGGAGGAGCTTCTGAGGATGAGTGCTTTAAGTGTGGAAACCCTGGTCATTGGGCTAGAGAATGCCCATCCACTGGTGGTGATCGAGGACGGTTCAGAGATCCGCCTGCAGTGCGCTCTAGAAATGGAGAATTTGATGGACACCGAGACCGCTATGGAGATCGTGAGGTGGAACGGGAGCGTGACCGTTACAGTGATGAGCGCCGTGATGGTGGACGGTGAGTACTTAAGCGTTTTTCAACCCAAGAATTTATAGTGTTTCTTTCTCTTACTTTGGATTCCAGCAAGTTTCTTGATCTGATTCTTAGTTCTGATAGAAATTTCTTGACTTGTTTAAGTAAGAGCTAAAAGTTTTGGTTGGCCAAGTGTTTATGCATTTGTTTTTGTTGTGGCTTCAGTGAGATTAGCAGGATGAAAGATAGAGAAAACGAAGGAACTCTTGACCACAGAATCTTCGTTGGAGGATTGTCTTGTCATATCACTGAGAGGCAGCTTGAGCATACTTTTGACCGCTATGGAAAAATCATCGATTGTCAGGTCTACTATCGAATCTCGTTCTTTGCTTTTGCTGCATACATAGAGTGATTGGTACAAAACAGACGATCATAAGACTCTTGTGTTGGGAACTTGTGTTTAGTGAGTGATATCTTTGAGCTTGAATATTCTGTAGAAGAATTTGTTTGATGCTCTCAGATATTTGGATATTATCTGTCATGTTTGAGATGCCTTGAAGAAGAACACGCTCACCTAGTGAGGCTTGACTTGTTGAAGGATGCAGTGGATGAATTAGTAGAGCAGCTTTCTTAGAAAGTAAACGCATATCTCTGCTCTCTCTTGATTTGATCATAGGTTTGAGAGCACTATGCTTAGATATGAAAAAGTTCTGTGGAATCTACTTCATCCTGTTCCCTTAGCTATGGATTCCTAAGGCATTCTCTGTTTTTTTGCTGGACTAAGCGGTTTTGAACATGTATCAGTTTGTGATACCTGCTTCAGCAGTCACTGAGATGGTTTCTTTCTGCTCATTCACCAATGATAAGCTATGTCTGTGTAATTGGAAAATTACAGTTGTTGGCACATGGGAAGCATCTCTAAGAAATTTAGTCATAGATAAATTACCCTGAGATGATAAGTTACTGGTCAATAATGGTCTTGATCAGAAAATTAGCCTTCTTTTTTTTCAGTGGAATTAGGCAGTGGGTTTTGTTGTGGTCACATTAGGCTAATGCGAAAGTGATCTGGAGTTACTTGACAGTTGCATGGCTTTAGAGTATTGTTGGCTATAGACTAATATCAGAAACCATTTTGGTGGGATGATTGATGTGGGAGATACTCCTTGTGGATTTGTATTTCTACAAGTATGATTCTAAGGACTTCAAATATTTGGTATATGGATCCATAGCCTCGAAAACTGTTTCCATGCCTTATGAAACTTAGTATGCATCATTTATATAAACATATCTGCTTAGTTCTTAGTTCTAATGTAACATCTGATAGCTAGTGCTGTTCTGTTGCTCTTTCATTAGAAAATCCTTAATTGAATGAATGTTCTGCTGACTTGATATAGTTTCTTATTGCAGTATGTTTGCTATACATGCTTTATTGTTTGTGGATTATAAGGAAGGATCAATGGTTTCCTTTTTGTTGTATTTGAGTGGTTTTGTTTCTCTGTTGAATTTCTGGCGTGTCAATATAACTTCTTCTGCATATAGGTTGTTGCAACAAAGTCTTAAACTTTTGTTTTCCAAAATGGTTGCTATGGTGTGATAGTCCCTAATCTCAGGGTCTTTTTTTGTGTGTGTTATAATTTGCTATCTCATAACACTATTGGCCTTTCATGTGTAAATGCAGATCATGGTGGAGAGAGATACAGGCCGTCCACGTGGTTTTGGGTTTATTACATTCACCGATCGCCGAGGAGCTGATGATGCAATCAAGCGCATGCACGGGAGAGAGTTGGGTGATAGGGTCATCTCAGTGAACAAGGCTGCGCCCAAGGCTGGAGGAGATGATGTAGATAGGAGCGGAGGCTATTCATCATCACTAGGGAGGGGAAGCTATGGAGGAGATTCTGAAGACAAGTGCTTTAAGTGTGGACGCCCTGGTCATTGGGCTAGAGAATGCCCATCAGCTGGTGGTGATCAAGGACGGTTCAGAGATCCGCCTGGACACCGGGACCGGTACGGAGATGGTGAGCTGGAATGGGACCGTTACATGGATGGGCGTCGTAGAGACCGAGACAGATATGAAACTCGTGATCACTATCCAATGGAGAGGTATGTATATATCTCTTTATCTTTTTGATCTAAATGGTTCCAAACATGTATTTGGTCTGAGGAAAGCCATAATCTTTTGAATGCATTAATGTAGATATGCGTCTCCTGGAGACCGGTATGCAATGCCTCATCATCTTGACAATGAATATGGTGGGAGAGAGAGAGGCTATGAGAGGGACAGATACGCAAGAGGTGCGAGTGATAGGTATGGTGTGGGACCGTTACGTGATGAAGGAAGAGCCTATAGAAGCAGATCAGGTCCTTATGACCGTCCTCTTAGCCGAGCTTGAGGCCGACCCTCCTTCATATGAAAAACCTTTGTAGCTTAATGTTTTCGGATTTAGGGATGTATCAGACTTATATACCATCAGTAACTTGAATTCTGTATCTCCGTTTATGTTTTTGCCGGATTTGATGATTCTTCATCACACTAAGTAGTTATGTGTTTTCGTGATCTTGTTAATTGAAACTCTCAATTGCATTAGTTTAACAAAATTGATGGATTTAAGAACACTTGAAACAGAGCTCTTAGATCAAGCTCACTCATACTTGTGAAGATTCAGAAAAGAGAGAACTTGAGATTTGCAATGGAATTAACAGAAAAGTAGGAACTTTGGCATTACAATGGAAGAGACAGAGCTAAACTAGAAGCACTTTACCAAAATTGATGAATTTAGAACACTTGAAACAGAGCTTAGATCAAGCTCACTCACATTTTTGCAGATTCAGACAAAAGAACTTGAGATTTGCAATGGAATTAACAGAAAAGGAGGAAACTTTGGCATTACAATGGAAGAGAAAGAGTTAAAGAAGACGCATTTAACCAAAAATGATGAATTTAGAACACTTGAAACAGAGCTGAGATCAAGCAAGAACTCAATTGCAATGGAAATTAACAGAAAAGGAGGAAACTTTGGCATTACAATGGAAGAGAAAGAGTTAAAGAAGACGCATTTAACCAAAAATGATGAATTTAGAACACTTGAAACAGAGCTGAGATCAAGCAAGAACTCAATTGCAATGGAAATTAACAGAAAATGAGGAAACTTTGGCATTACAATGGAAGAGAAAGTGTTAAAGAAGACGCATTTAACCAAAAATGATGAATTTAGAACACTTGAAACAGAGCTGAGATCAAGCAAGAACTCAATTGCAATGGAAATTAACAGAAAATGAGGAAACTTTGGCATTACAATGGAAGAGAAAGTGTTAAAGAAGACGCATTTAACCAAAAATGATGAATTTAGAACACTTGAAACAGAGCTGAGATCAAGCAAGAACTCAATTGCAATGGAAATTAACAGAAAATGAGGAAACTTTGGCATTACAATGGAAGAGAAAGTGTTAAAGAAGACGCATTTAACCAAAAATGATGAATTTAGAACACTTGAAACAGAGCTGAGATCAAGCAAGAACTCAATTGCAATGGAAATTAACAGAAAAGGAGGAAACTTTGGCATTACAATGGAAGAGAAAGAGTTAAAGAAGACGCATTTAACCAAAAATGATGAATTTAGAACACTTGAAACAGAGCTGAGATCAAGCAAGAACTCAATTGCAATGGAAATTAGCAGAAAAGGAGGAAACTTTAGCATTGCAATGGAAGAGAAAATAGTTAAAAACTAGTTAAGACGACAAATAGACAAACAGATTCCAAAATCTCAAATCTTCAATCTAAATCTCGAGAAAAAATCCAAACTTTTTTTCTTACTTGCGAAGTTCACCGATGTAGAAATCGTCGATCATGTCAAAAACACGAGTGGCGTGTTGCGGTCCGAAAAAACCATCAGTGGAATCATCACCAGCGTGATCTAGAATGGCGTCACCACCAGGATGTTCTTCGACATAAGAAGTGATATCATAAACCTTGTCCTTGATTATGACCCAACAATCGTCTCTTTTGTTGTGTGCTGCGATTTCACTCTTGCTGTAACTCTTAGGCTTCGAATCTACAGGCTCACTACTACTAGATCGCTTCTCTTGATCACTGCCGTTTTTTGATGATCTTCTTCGCTTTCCTTGGATTAAGAACAATGCTGAAACCAGAAAACCCATAATCAAACCGATCACAGCTATCATTTTCTTATCTGCTCTTACCTGAATACAGTACCTCGGCGAAGTTAATCGACGGAGAAGTCTGAGGAAGATACATAAAATGCTGAGCCATGGAGGATTGGATTTTATTATATTGCCTTTGCATCCTTGGTTATTATTTCTCTTTACTTTGCTCCCCAAACCTTTTGTTTTGGTCAGTGGCTGCCTCATAGATGAGTCAGTTTGATTTGAACAACAAAATTCGGATTGTGATTAATGTTTTTTTTAACGGCAATTTATATGAGAGGGCATAAAAGGTGAAAACACTACGTTTATCCATTGTCTTTCTTCATGTACTCTAATCCAAATTCTTGAGATTCCAATAATTGGGTTCACAAAAGTCTTTTTTTGTTTTGTTTTGTTATCGGTTTCTTTAATCGATTATGGATTTAGGAAGAGAGGAAGAGTAAAGAGATGCAGATTTGTGTGGAATGTTATGTGTGCATCGATCTTTGCGTGGTTGTCTCTATTAAAAAGGCTTATATGTGACTAAAAAAACTATACACACAAATCTAGTGATGGAGATTTCAGTGTAGAGAGAACATCTTAGAAGTTGTTAGTAATCTTGTCATTAATTTTGTTCAAAAGCTAAATCCATGGAAAGCTGCTATGTTTTGTGTAGAAATTGTTATAGCTTTAGTCATGTATTTTCTAGTATTCACACACACACAAAAAGTCATGTAGGTGTGTTTAGGTTTCAGGTCAAGAATTCTGAGAGAAAGATTAGATGTTAAAACTATAAATGTTCTAACACTAAATCTTGTTGCATTAAATTTACCAATAACTTTGATTAGATTCCAATAAAAACATACAAAAAAAATCAGTCACACAATGTTTTGGTTTTGGTGAAGTAAGATGTTTACTTTAAAATTATTAAGTATTAAGTTGGTTTGTGAAGATGATAATGGCTCCAACTGGTAACCAAGGAATGAGGGGGAATAAATAAGTTCCCTCTCATTCCTTAAGAATTACACCATTCATAAGGAATGTGTATCTTATATTATTCCCCTTTATTCCATATTAATTAAAGACTTTTAGTGTTAAAATATTCCTTATCAAAAAACTGCAGGAATAAGTTCCCTAAATTTTATTTCCTCTTCATTCCTTTCATTCTCATTTATTTTGTTCCTTTAAAGTTCACCAATTAGAGCCAATATGTGCAAATAATGTACGTGTAAGCGGATTTGACCGCAAGATAAGGAAAGTAAAACATTTGGTAAAAAGATTGCATTCCCTATACCAAGCAAAAAGAAACATGTGAGTAAAAACATCAAAGATTGCATTTAACATATTAGTATTTTTGATTTTCATGGTTTTAGGTAACATGGCAAAGAACTCTAACTTGCATTTGTATCAAAATGTATGAGATGTCACTCTATGCGTTTAGGAATCCGGCGGAAATGAAATTTAACTGTGGGATGATGAAAAGGGGTCTATTTTGTTGTAGTTCGGAAACTCTCCAAAAGCAGTTACAGATATGAGATACAACTCTGGATTAATTTTGCGAAGAATTCTATTAACCATGTCGACAAAAGAAGCGGCTGTAACACCAACATGTATTACTCTGGTATCTTCGTCCAAGTACATTTTGACTCCGTGGTTTATCATGGGTAACAGTGAGGGTTCTTGAAACTTGGAGAGAGAGACGAATGCACAATAGATGATCAAACGAAAGAACGAGAGAAAGAAATAGTGTAGTGAAAGAAACTGGAGATCGACTAGAGAGATTAAGCGAAGAGAGGAAAAACAATCTAGGTTAGATCTGCATCAAGGGTGGAGTTTTATAGCATCAGGGATTTTATTAGCCCATACAGCTTTCTCTTCAATTTTCATAGCTATGAAATTCATGAGAGTTTGAAGTATCCGTTGGGTGCAGCCTCTCATCGCAGGAGTAATAGCACGAGTCTTTTAATGATGCATCATGCGCTGAGGCAAATTGCCTAAACTCTAACTCTCATTTGTTTCAAATGAGAGTATCCATTTGTTTACTGTGTGTAAAAATAAAATAAAATGAATATTCTCATTTAATGTAATTTCTAATACCTTGTTGTAATATATATAGATTAATTTTGTGTACGAAGTGTATGTGACTGTGTTATTCACAAATTGCGTAAGAAGATTAAAAAATTACTCACGAACAAACCTTCTCTCCTTCAAAGAGTGGACAAAACAAAAGCAAAACCACAATGGAATAAAAAGTTGTTCTGCGGAAAAATACAAAAAAACGAATAACCAAACAAAACCACCATTTACTCTCTCTCTCTCTCACTCCTCGCCGGCTTCTGCAAATTCCAAGTTCGCATCTCGCTGACACTCTTCCGCGAATCACACCTCTTAATCTCCAGCTCCATCTCTCTTTACGATCTCAAAAGTTTCGGGTGTGTTTCTTCTTCAACGATTCATCTCTACTCGCATCCCCAAATCGTTGGGGGTTTAGGGTTTTGTATCGAGTCCATTTCCAGCTCATAGAAGCAAATTCATCTTCTTTCCGCTAAATTCGAGGTGGGTTTCTCTTGGGTTTAATCAATTCTTCTACTTTCTGCTTTAGATTTGCTTCCTGAATTGCTAAAACCCTAAATCGAACGTGTTGCAAAATCAACAGCTCTCCGGTGATGATTCCGATGGATAATTACTGTGTACCGAGCACTAGCACGACCGGTTTAGTATTCTCGGCGAATTCGAACATGTCTGCTTCCTCCGGATTCCACCTCACTGTAAATTCTCCGTCTTCCGTTACCGGAATCAAACATGAAGCTGCCTTGGCTGTTGACTGGTCTGTTGAAGAACAGTACATATTGGAGAAGGGCCTTTCAAAGTAAGTGTTTTTTCTTTTGCAATTTCCTCTTATTCCGCCAAATTTTGTTACTTGGTAGCTATTAGCCTATAATACAATGTTAAAGTAGCGAAATGTTGTATCTTTTTGAGAAGTAGAGTCCACACGTTGGATATTTTGACTATGTAGGACGGTTTAAGGATTTAGATGTAAAGAAAAAAAGGATGTGACTTTGCGTCTCACATGAACTGTAACAGCACATATTGTAATCTCGAATTCATAAGCCGATTCAGTTTCATACAAAAATATCAGCTATATGTTATTTCTCGTTCGTTCTTTTGTTTTAATGCTTACATGAAACCTTTGTCTTGACTTTTGTAGATTTAAAGATGAACCACAGGTGACGAAGTATGTAAAGATTGCATCAACTCTACCAGAAAAAAGTGTACGGGATGTAGCAATGAGGTGTAAATGGATGACGGTAAGCTTCTAACGCCTTTTCATGAGTTTTTGGTAATGCCCTTTTGCTTGTGAGATAAATTAAGGAAAAATACAACAATTCAGCAGTTATATATTGCATGTAGCTGTCATGAAAATAGTGGTTTTGAGAGATATTTGTATAGCGCTTAAAGCATATGCAAAGTGTATGGAAACCTACATGGTGATGCTACTTTGTTGTGTGTATGCTTTGTTAAAGATAAAGTTTTGTAGGAAAAGTTCTTTTATATAGTTTTTTTTGGCTATTGCTCTATTGATCAAAAGCCAAAGCCACCCTACCATATCATAAAGGTTGTCTAAAAGTGTGGTGTTAAGGGTGTGCAAGGAGAAAATGACAAGTATTGCTGACGAGAGATCTGGCTTTCTGTTAGCTCTGGAGTCATGTTTGGAACTTGATTTGACCCTAGGACGATAAGCTTGATTTGATTTCTGTAGTTACCCTGAAACTAATATCGCTTTATGGGTGATGTCAGATAATTCCTGGGGTTTTAGAACTTTCTGAAGTTGATTTTGACATGTAACCTTTCATGAATGATAATGTTTCATTATTTCATAGTGCCAAATATTGCCTTCTCTTACCTCACTGTCGATTTCTTCTATGAATATGGCTGAAAAAATGGATAGATATTTTAAGACTTGAGTTGTTCAAGCAGATATATATGACTCGTTCAAACATAAAGTTTTAACATTTCCCCTTTTTAGCATTCATGGTCTCGAAACTTTTCTATGCTAACAATGGCATCAATGTTTACAGCAAAAACGAAGGAAAGGGGAAGAACATAGTGCTGGCACGAAGGTTGGCTATAGAAAGGTATGTTTGCTCAACTGAATCTTAGGGTATATATTCTTCTGTAACTAAATAAACGAACAAGGGTCTATGATCTAGGTTGTATTTTGCTTTAAAAGAGATTATTGACTGCAAATGGATTTTTGTTCAAACTGCTACAAACTTGTTTTCCTTGAGAAACCAAATATACAACTAACTGACTTCTTCTTGATTTAGGTGGTGGATTTACCCCCAAAACTGAACATGTTCTCCACCGTGCCACAACAAAATGCTACATATGCCGTGAACCACATGTGCCAGAGTCCACGCATGCCTTTTGAAGGTTAATACCTTATTTTCTTGTTAGCTACCTACCTTATTCTCCCCTGTTATCTTTTCTGGTTTGATATATTCTCCAAACTCTGATTTTTCTTAGGTTTAAGTGATGCGGTAATGGAGCTTTTACGACAGAATGCTCAAGCTTTCAGTCAAATTTCTTCAAACCTTTCTGCGTGCAAGGTATTTGATTTTGCAATTTTGTTTTTGTAATCGTAAGTGAGTGAATCTAAGCCAAATGCTAGTTGGTAGGAAAATATAAGCATGAGCAGAAAATTGACTAAAAAGATCATAGATCAAATGGTTCACATGCATTTGTTTATTCAATGCAACTTACTGTTTGGTTGTCCTTTCTCAATGGAATTTCCATCCTGACATCTTATTTTCTGCATACAGCCACAGGACAACATCAGTCTGTTTTATCTGGCAAGAAATAACATCAGTACCATCTTGAATGAGTACGTGCATCTAATGATACATTTCCTCTGTCGTCTCTCTCCATATCTTTTTTAAAAAGCTTGATTTGGTAAACTCTTACTTATTCTCATTGATGCAGCATGAAGGTGATGCCTGGAATCATCAGCCGGATGCCGCCTCTGCCCGTTTCAGTTAACAATGATCTTGCGAGCAGGTTAATGACGAGTACAGCACAGGTAAACCAGTCTTACATTTTCTCTGAGAACGTGATATGAATAAGACTCTTTATCTGTATCGTTTGGTTCACTCCATGCTTGATATTAAACTGGAACGTTTTGTCTCTATTTTTCAGCCGAGAGCTTATATGATTCCTTCGAGCATCTATATGAAGCAGGAGCCAAGAAACTGATTAGGAGGGAGGAAATCTGGATTTTGACCAATGCTAAAGGACATAGCACAAGAAACCGGTTAATGACAGTTGTCCGATTTGACTCAGACGGAAAGAAGATGGTTTTATCAACTGCTAAACCCTCTTGCAAAACACAAGATTGAACAAGATGGGATCTTGTGGAACCCTTTGTGCTGTCGGCTAATATGGCATGGAAGGGTTAACATTAACCACAGGTTAACCAAAAAGCCTTGTCAATCCTTTAATATCTCAAAAACTGATTATTTTTCCGGTGCCAAAATGCTTATGGTAATCAAATCCAAGATATGAATTCGTTGCACAGATCTGTGTTATTATTAGAGTTGGTTGTATAGAATTAGGTGTTTCTGTAAGGTTTTAGATGAGAATTATTTAAGTGTGTAACATGAATACATCTTGCAAGGTTTGATCTACAATAGGCATTTCATATTTTACTTTAGTTGCACATATCATATGGCTCTTCTTTTTTTGCTTGTGTTATGTCCATATGTCTCACACTTCAAACAAATTTGACATTCAAGATGCAATCTTTTCCTTAAATGGTTCATTAAAGGTTATTACTTAGGGGACTCCATACATAATTTATTATTTTGAGTGGTACTTATAGACCACCTACACGTAGTCTCAAAACTTTATACATGCAATACAAATACAAAATCTTCAACATGAATCACTGCGGTTTGGCTTAAGACACTCTCACATGGTTTTCCAAGAAGACAATGGTGGAGTGTTAGCGTCCTTGAAAGTGGGCACCATGGCAGTGTATCTTCCTCCTTTCACAGACTCTGGTTGAGCAATGGCCTCGAGCTCAGACATCTCTTCAGGAGTGAGTTTCACCGATAAAGCTCCAATGTTCTGGTTGAGGTTTTCAATCTTGGTGGTTCCCGGGATGGGGCAAACATCATCTCCTTGGTGATGAACCCATGCCAGAGCTAGTTGTGCAGGAGTGCACCCTTTCTTCTCTGATATTGCACAAATATTCTCATAGAGAATCTTGTTGTGGTCTAAGTTTTCTTGTTGGAATCTTGGTAGAGTCTGCAATCAAATAAACACAAATAAGTAAGTGTATCCACAACTTCTCTAAGGTACATTAGCCAAGTGTTTGAATGCCAAAGAAAAAAATAGTTGCCTTTCTGTAGTCATTTTGGTCCAGAGTCTCAACAATCTTGGGTCCTGATGCAAAGAAGCCTCTTCCTAGAGGGCTATAAGCTACAATTCCAATCCCAAGCTCTCTAGATAAACAAAGAGGATATATGAATAAACCATGTAAACGAAGAGGGAAAGTTATGGATAATTTTTATAATTTTTCTCTTCATACCTGCATGTAGGAATGATTTCTTTTTCCACGTCTCTCGTCCACAAAGACCACTCTAGCTGCACTGCGGTTATCGGGTGAACAGCATGCGCTCTTCTAATAGTTGAGGCAGAGGCTTCAGACAAACCAATGTACTTTATCTTACCTTCTTCTACTAGCTTCTTGAGCTCTCCCATCTTTGAAAAAAAAAAAATCACACAGAACATTAGTCCAACAAATTATTATGCAATCAAAATCAACACAAGAATACTCTATACTAAGGCCACTAAGTTATAACCATCACAAGCATATCCAAATTGTTCCTTATGACTTATTGTTCAATTTCATGAGAATCGAACTCAAAACCAATTGTCTCAATGACCCTAATCCTTTATATACTATCTAAGGTCTCATCTTATAGTCGATGTGGGACTTATCTTACACTCTACCTAGAGATTAGGGCATCATGGTTCATTAGTATACTTTATCCCTAATGACATATTTTACACTCTCTCTAGAGATTAGGGCATCATGGTCTATTAGTCTCTACTTTATCCCTAATACTTATTTACTTACTCATCATATTTTTGGCTTTATGAGAATTATCAGTAACACTGAAAACAAGATTCAAACCAAGAAGATATCCATACAGTGACTTCGATGGGGACAGTGGTATCAACACAATGCTGGTAATAAAGATCAATGGAGGTAACACCAAGTCTCTTCAAGCTCGCTTCACAAGCAGACCTCACATGCTCAGGATCTCCCCTGATACCAAACTTTCCATCTTTAGAGAGTGTGATCCCAAATTTCGTAGCTAACTCCACTTTCTCCCTAAACCCATTTTTCAAAGCCTGGAATGAGAAAAAAAACCTCAAAACATTTCTAACAATCTCTACAGAGTATCCACCATATAGAAACAACTTTTTGACAATCGAGATCAAACCTTGCCGAGGAGCAATTCGTTTGTCTCAGGACCATAGAAGTCGGAGGTGTCGAGGAAAGTAACGCCGGAGTTAATAGCATGATGAAGAAGAGCGATGGCTTCAGATTCCGGCTTTGGAGGACCGTAGAAGGAGGAGAGGCTCATGCAACCAAGACCTTGCGCTGATACTTCAAGGCCTTGGCGTCCAAGTTTCATCCTCCTCACTCCAAAAGTTTCTGCCATGGATTTTCGTTCACGCAATTCAATATCTCTCTCTCTCTTTGACTGACTTGTAGAGTTTTGAAATGAGTGGAGACGTTTGTTGGAGTTGCGTTGGTGGAATGTAATCTTATTATGGAAAAAGAAGCCGTGTGTCGCTTGTTTTCTCTAGTTGGTGCATTTTATTCTCCTCTAAGATTATGGAATGTGGAATTTTCGTAAAGTTAAAAGCGACAAATAAATGACTGACTGATAAGCCGCGGAGTAAATTTTTTTGACTGGTTGATAACTAAAAGTAGTAATAATTATGTTGACTAAAATTCAATTTCGATGTTCTGCTATATAAATGACTCAAAAATATTATTTTTGTCTTAGTCATCTCATTTTACAGATTACTAGATTATCTGTGATTTTGAAACCAAGACCATTAGTTGGCTAAGTATGATTCGGTTTTTAGTCGTTTTTTTGTTCCTTTTTGGCGGCAGCTTTTAGTCATTTAGAAACTTAAAATTGTATACTACTTACTAGTTAGGCGAGTTAGGTTTGGTCTTCATAGGCATTTCATATTTGGGACTCTATACATAATTTACTATTTTGAGTGATATTTATGGACCACATACACGTAGTCTCAAAACTTTGTACATGCACATATACAAACTTTTTGAAATTAGTCGCTGCGGTTTGGCTTGAGACAGTTTCACATGGTTTTCCAAGAAGACAATGGTGGAGTGTCAGAGTTCTTGAAGGTGGGTACCATGGCAGTGTATCTTTCACCTTTCACAGACTCTGGTTGAGAAATGGCCTCAAGGTCAGCCATCTCTTCGGGAGTGATATCCACCGATAAAGCTCCAATGTTCTGGTCGAGGTTCTCGATCTTAGTGGTTCCTGGTATGGGGCAAACATCATCTCCCTGGTGGTGAAGCCACGCCAGTGCTAGTTGTCCGGGAGTGCAACCTTTCTTCTCCGACATTGCATGAACCTTCACGTAAAGAATCTTGTTGTGGTCTAAGTTTTCTTGTTGGAATCTTGGTAGAGTCTACAATAAAGAACACACAAATGAGCTAGTATAATCCACAACTTCCCTAAGGTTCATCATCAGTCAAGTGTTTGAATACCAAAGAAAAAAAGTAGTTGCCTTTCTATAGTCATTTTGGTCCAGAGTCTCAACAATCTTGGGTCCTGATGCTAAGAAGCCTCTTCCTAGAGGGCTATAACACACAATGCCAATCCCAAGCTCCCTAGAGAAACAAAGAGGAAATATGAATAAACCATGTCAACGAAGAGAGAAAGTTATGGCTGAATTTTCAATCTTCCTCATACCTGCATGTAGGAATGATATCTTCTTCCACGTCTCTTGACCACAGTGACCACTCTAACTGCACAGCGGTTACCGGATGAACAGCATGCGCTCTTCTGATAGTTGAGGCAGAGGCTTCAGACAAACCAACATATTTTATCTTACCTTCTTCCACAAGCTTCTTGAGCTCTCCCATCTTTTGAAAATTATATTCAAAAAGAAATTATAAAGCAACTAAGACCAGCACAAGATACTTAGCTTGAGTATCACTCATCAGAGTTTTTGTAACATTGACAAGGTAGTTGTTAAGATTCAAACAAACCAAGAAGAAACAATACCGTGACTTCAATGGGGATAGTGGTATCAATTCGATGCTGGTAATAAAGATCAATGGAGGTAACACCAAGACGCTTCAAGCTTGCCTCGCAAGCAAACCTCACATACTCTGGATCTCCACTTATAGCAAAGTTTCCATCTTCAGAAACTGTGACCCCAAATTTCGTCGCTAATTCCACTTTCTCCCTAAACCCATCTTTCAAAGCCTACACACCAAAACAGATCCAATGCTCAATTATTACCCCAATTCAAAACCTAATATATTGGAGATATCTTGGTGAGCAAGGTATCTCCAATACAAAACATATCAAACATATAAATAAGGAATTATCGAGATCGAACTTTCCCGAGGAGAAACTCGTTGGTATGTGGACCGTAGACGTCGGAGGTGTCAAAGAAAGTAACGCCCGAGTGAATAGCGTGGCGGAGAAGAGCAATAGCGTCAGCTTCAGGCTTGGTAGGACCGTAGCCATAGGAGAGGTTCATGCAACCAAGGCCTTGCGCCGATACTTCGAGGCCTTGACTTCCAAGTTTTATCCTCCTCACTCCGCAAGCTTCCGCCATGGATATTTCACGCACACCTCTCTTGACTGGAGTGGTGACTGATGACTCCCTTTGAGTGGTGTTGAACTTAAAGAAAAGGAGCGAATAGATCGCTTATTTAAGGGGTTTGTTGAAAAACAAAAAATGGGTGAGGATTAAAATATAATAAATAGGTAGACTAGGATGAAACAGATAAATAATGGGGTTGGTGAGGATGAAACAATCAAAATAAAGGGGTTGGTGAGGATGAAAATAATAAATAAAGGAATGATGTTGCGATTTGAAAAGTCTAGTCGTCGTTAACTTGTTAGGACTTTAAAAGATCTAGACATTTTTGATTTTACGGTAGAAAATAATCAAATATGGCTGAGAGTCAGTGCCGTGCCAAGGTTAACTAGGGCTTATAAATATAGCTGTTTTTTAATAGATGACTAGGGTTGGACCCGCGCCCTGCACGGGGTGATATTTTCTTGATTTAGTTTTATTTTTAGATATCTTTTTACATAAGTATCATTCTAGAAAAATAGGGTGTTAGACAATAAAAAATATGTCAGTTTACATTAGAATTTTTTTTGAGTGATGTATATTTTTTTAGCCCCTATTAAGTGACACAGTTGAATCCACATATATATCTTTTAATAAGTTTGAAATAGTTTTATATGGCATATATATTTAATATTTTTGATCAATTTTAAATAACTAAAATAGTTTAACTTATATATTAAGTTATTAGATTTTATTATGATTTATTTATTTAGTTCAATTAAAGAACAAAATTAAATCAAATTAAAAAAAAATAAAGTTTGGAAACCTAATAAATCAGTTTTTTTACTATGGTTGATCATTATTTGGATTTTTTTTATAATAGGTTTTTGAACTATCATCCCAAAATATAATCGATATGAGACTTTTAACAATTTTAGAGATTTGCTTCATTTTAAAATTTTCAAATCATAGCATATGCAGAAAAAACTAATTTTGTTTTATGAAATATTTTGATGTAATGATATAATTTATTTTTGAAAAAGTAAAGTTAAAAAAATGATAAGATAATAAATTAATTTTTAAACAATTAATATAATACAATTGAATAAAACTTTCCATATTTTACTGATTGATTGACTAATAAATACTTTTAAATTTATTTATAATTTTCGTCACTACCAGATAAGGAAATAGAAAAAAATTAATTTTAATTAATAATTATTTTTCTGATTAAATTAATAATAAATATTTCAGCACTTGCCTAATAAAAAGAGGTTATCCCTTATATATTAAAAGAGAAGACATGCTGAGGTGTCAGCATTTGCCACACTCTCAGGATCTTCTAAAAATAACTCTCTCTTAATTAGACTATTTACAAATATGCCACAGAAATTATCAAGATATTAATAATTACAAATATTGTCATTCATATTATTATTAAATTAATTCAATATTTTTAATAAAAATGTATTATTAAATTAATCATATATGTAGCTATTAAAAAAAATTATCATTCTCTTTCTTAATTGGCAATTACGAAAATTAGTAAATAAGGAAAATATGATCAATTTAATTCTATCATAATAATTGTTTTTTTAAATCATTAGATATCTCATTTCATCTTTGTTTACCTCTATTTTATAAAATAATTTGAATCACAATATAAGAAATTTAGTAAAGAAAATCTAATTTTTTCTGTATATGATTTGAATTTAAAAAAATATTCACTAAAACTCTTAAAATTCCCATATATGATATGTTATTGTGTGAAGGTGTAAAAATATATTATATAAAAAAATAGATGATGTGCAACCATATGACATAGGAGAGTAGGTATCCAAATGTAAATTGGTTTTTTATTCGATTTAATATGGTTTTTTAATTAAACGGTATAATTAAATCAAATAAGACAATTCTTCTTATAAATATTTTGTTTTGATCAAAAATTTGAATATTGATCTATCTGTTTCACTTTCAATATAAAAGTAATTATATTTTTGTTGTTTTGACAATTTGGATACTGCAGATTGTTTTCTTATTGGTCGAATTGTTTTCAAATTATAATAAAACATTTTTTAGTTTTGAATGAAAGAGAAAAAAGTTAGTTATAATCCGTTTGCATAGTTACAAAAGATATAATCCGTGTGCATACATCTATAACTGCTTATCTTATAAAATACATGATATATAATTTTTAAAAAGAATAGTATTTTATTTTCATTTTTGTTCTTTGAACAATTTTATTATATTGTAATCATTTGAGTTTTATGTATCTCGCTTAAATCTATCATATTTAATTTATGGCTACGATCAACATTTTAATTTGTTTAACTTTTTTGAAAATGGTTTAAAATGCTTAATTTCCACACTATAAACCAAGACAAGAACCTAACCAAGGTGAAAAATATGTCGTATAAAATTTCAAAATAGTTATATATACATTTCTGATTAAAAAATACAAATTCAGAAATCATCACCCCGTGCAGGGCACGGGTCAAACCCTAGTTTTTAGAATATTTTGAGAGTGGCAAATTGCGACACCTCAGCATGGCATACTTGAAATTAAGTTGAAAACAAAGGGGATTTTTATAAATGTCTTTTCTTTTAATATATAAGGGATTATAGAACAACAAAAACGAAAAAAACAAAACAAAACTATTCAAATTAAACAAAAGATGGTGCCGTGAGATTTTGGTTTCTTTCTTTAAAAAACAACTCAGAAAAACATATTAATATTAATAAAAAATTGGTAATTTACCCCTAAAAAAGTCTTCTCTTATTCACTTACATTTTCTCAAAATGACTTTGTCCACTTAAATAAGAGTTATTTAAGTGTGTAATACATCTTTGTAAGGTTTGGTCTTCATAGGCATTTCATATTTGACTTATTCCCATATTAGCTGCCGTGGGCTCCTCTTTTTGGTTGTTTATTATGTCCACTAGGGAATGAAGCCCCGCGCAAGCGCGGGTTGTTGCAAAATAATTGTGTTTTTGTATATTCGTTGATTTAAATTATGATGGTTTATTATTTATTTTTAGTGGTTACGTTTTGAGTTAATCTAATTATTCACATTAAGGATGTTCAATATGACTTTTAAAAAATGTTAACTGTATACTTCATCTCTGGTTCTTTTTTCTAAATTTAACATTTTAAATATTTCACTTATTCAGTTTTATTGGACTATAATTTAACATTAAGTTTGAAGAAAAAAAGTTTAAAACATGGTATAGAATCACATTTTGACTCGAAATATGGTAAAATATATATTTATTTTTCTGTAGATTAGCGTTTGATCAAGATGATCGTTGATTCTTATATACAATTTTATATTTGTAAATTTAAATTATACTTTTAAAACAAACATGTCATAATCCTTAAAATTTACATTTCTTGCTTCTAACTTCTTATTCGCTTTCAACTGTATTATCTAAATGATATTTTATAACTCTTAACACATTATAATAAAAAATAATCCTCTATATAAATTTTGATCAATAAGGTAACTATATACTATTTAATAAAAAAATATCATTTTCTTTCTCTAATTGATACTACAATTTCTGTTAAATTTTGATACCAAGTTATTACATACTTTATATTTTTAATTATTTTTGTGTATTTTTCTTAATTTATTTTATGTATTTCTTTGGATTATATGTAAAGAAATATGAATAGTCATATATTAAATTTCTTAAATACAATTTAATGATTTTTTGCTGATGTGGATAGGCTAGATGGAGAGAGCACTCTCCTATTATATATATAAGATATGTCTCACACAATCCAAACAAATTTGTCATTTAAGATCCATTCTCTTGTGGTAGTACAAAGGAGTTGGTTGTGCTTAGGCCCCATGTTTAAAACCCATTTTAGGACGGTGGAGTATTTTGCACTACCACAGTTTTTTAAGAAAGAAAAAAAAAATTATTTTGCTTAAATGGTTCATAGACGTTTATTACTGAGGGGACTCCATGCATAATTTATTATTTTGTGTGATATTTAGGGAGCACATACGCGTAGTCTCAATACTTTGTACATGCAACACAAACTCTTTAACATTAATCACTGCGGTTTGGCTTGAGACACTCTCAGATTATTTTCCAAGAAGACAATGGTGGAGTGTCAGAGTTCTTGTAGGTGGGCACAATGGAAGGGTATCTTTCTCCTTTCACAGAACCTGGTTGAGCAATGGTCTCGAGCTCAGCCATCTCTTCGGGAGTGAGGTTCACCGACAAAGCTCCAATGTTCTGGTTAAGGTTCTCGATCTTAGTGGTTCCTGGAATAGGGCAAACATCGTCTCCCTGGTGGTGAACCCACGCCAGTGCTAGTTGTGCGGGAGTGCAACCTTTCTTCTCTGAGATTGCAAGAACCTTCTCGTAAACAATCTTGTTGTGGTCTAAGTTTTCTTGCTGGAATCTTGGTAGAGTCTACAGTAAAGAACAAACAAATGAGCAAGTTAATCCACAACTTCTCTAAGGTCTATCATCAGTCAAGTGTTTGAATGCAAGAAAAACAGTAATTGCCTTTCTGAAGTCATTATTGTCAAAATTCTCAACAATCTTGGGTCCTGATGCAAGGAACCCTTTTCCTAGAGGGCTATAAACTACAATTCCAATCCCAAGCTCCCTAGAGAGATCACAAGACACAATAAATGATGGATTAAACATGTAAATGAAGGGGAAAGTTATGGCTGATTTTGATTCCTCATACCTGCAAGTAGGAATGATATCTTCTTCAACTTCTCTTGACCATAAGGACCATTCTAGTTGCACAGCGGTTATCGGGTGAACCGCATGCGCTCTTCTAATAGTTGAGGCAGAGGCTTCAGACAAACCAATGTACTTTATCTTACCGTCTTCCACTAGCTTCTTCAATTCTCCCATCTTTGAAAACAGATTCACCCAAACAATAAGTTCAACAAAGAAGAAGAGCGAAAAAAAAAATCAGCAAAAGAATACTCTATATTAAGGCCACACAGAGCATAACACCTCTCATGAATAAGCTATAACCATCACAAGCATATCCAAACTGTTTCCTTATGACTTATTGTTAAGTTTAATGAATATCGAACTTAAAACCAATTGACAATGAGAGGAATGGCCCAGATCCATTATATATTTTATTATTCAAGGTCCATTTTATTGTCGATGTGGGACATATCTTACACTCTCTCTAGAGATTTAAGGCATCATGATCTATTCGCCTCTACTTTATCCCTAATACCTATTTACTCATCAGATTTTTGGCTTTATGAGAATTATCAGTAACATTGAAAACAAGTGGAAGTAAGATTCAAACCAAGAAGAAGCCATACCGTGACTTCGATTGGAACAGTGGTATCAATACGATGCTGGTAATAAAGATCAATGGAGGCAACACCAAGTCTCCTCAAGCTAGCCTCACAAGCAGACCTCACATACTTTGGATCTCCCTTGACTCCAAATTTTCCATCCTCAGAAGCAATGATCCCAAACTTCGTAGCTAATTCCACTTTCTCCCTAAACCCATCTTTCAAAGCCTTCACACCAAAACAAAAATAAAATAAATAAAAATCCAGTGCTCCATTATTAATATGAACCCCCAATTTTCGCCTATATATAAACCCAAAAATATTTCTCACAAGATAGTAAATCGGAAATTGTCGAACCTTGTTGAGGAGCAACTCGCTGGTCTCAGGACCATAGTAGTCGGATGTGTCGAGGAAAGTGATACCGGAGTTAATAGCGTGGTGGAGAAGAGCGATCGCATCAGTTTCCGACTTGGGAGCACCGTAGAAGGAGGAGATGCTCATGCAACCAAGGCCTTGCGCTGATACTTCAAGGCCTTGGCTTCCAAGTTTCATCCTCTTCACTCTGCAAGATTCCGCCATGGATTTCTCTCTCTCTCTCTCTCTCTTTGAGTGGAGAAGGAAGTGGTGAAATGTAATCTGATGATGGAAAAAGAAGTCGTGTGTCGCTTTTCTTCTCTAGTTGGTGCATTTTATTTTTTCCTCTACGATTATTGGGATGTGTGTAATTTTCCTAAAGTTAAAAGCGACAAAAAAAAGTGATTGGATAGCTGCCGACAAGAAAAAAAAATGACTGATTGATAGCTAAAATATTCAATTCCGATATTAAAAAAGCTCTGAGTTTGATTCGGTTTTGAATCGTTAGTTTATTTTTGGCGGCAGCTTTTAGTCAGTCAAAATGCAATAACGACGTCGTTCTTCTCTATCTCGAAAACCAGCTTCACTAAATTTAAACCTGAACCGGTCTATCTCCTGGTTTAGCTCAATTCCTGTCCAATCGAACCCTCCAGACACAGCAGAAACTTCTCCCTGAGCCAGAGTCTTTCCTGGAGAAGCTCTTTCTATCTCGAGCAAAGGTCAAAGCCTCTCTCTCAGGCAGAGTCTTTCGAAAACTAGACCAAACTCTACACAAGTCAAGGATATAAAGCATAAATCAAGCGGCATTATACAATGTACTCTCAAGTCTCACAAATCGAGTTTAAAATGTGAGGTTTATAACAATATAGGGAACTTTGATTGAAGTTTTTACTTGGGGAACTCTATTCATTATTTAAGGAGTTAACACTGACATTCATTACTTTGATCTCGCTGACAGAAGTTTAGACTGCTTCAATGTCATGCACCACCAGAGAAACTCAGAGTTTCCAAGAAGACAATGGTGGAGTGTCTGAGTTCTTGAAACTAGCCAATGCCATCATGTGACCGTGTCTCTCTCCTTTCACAAAACCTGGTTGAGCAATGGCCTCGAGCTCAGTCATCTCTTCAGGAGTGAGTTTCACCGATAAAGCTCCAATGTTCTGGTTGAGGTTTTCGATCTTGGTGGTTCCCGGGATGGGGCAAACATCATCTCCCTGGTGATGAACCCATGCGAGGGCTAGTTGTGCAGGAGTGCATCCTTTCTTCTCAGAGATTGCACAAACCTTCTCGTAAACAATCTTGTTGTGGTCTAAGTTTTCTTGCTGGAATCTTGGTAGAGTCTGCAATCAAAGAACACACAAATGAGCAAATATAATACAGTCACATCATAAGATTCATCAATCAAATTCATTTGTACTTGCCTTTCTGAAGTCATTATCGTCTAGCTTCTCAACAAGCTTAGGTCCTGATGCAAAGAAGCCTCTTCCCAGAGGACTATAAGCAACAATTCCAATCCCAAGTTCTCTAAAGAAGGAATAAGGAAGATGATGTTACATGATTGATATGGATAATGCATCAAGAACAATACGAGCAAATCTGCATTGACTCATTCCCTTACCTGCAGGTCGGTATGATCTCTTCTTCAACGTCTCTCGTCCACAAGGACCATTCTATCTGCACAGCGGTTATTGGATGAACAGCATGCGCTCTTCTGATGGTTGAAGCAGAGGCTTCAGACAAACCAACGTACTTTATTTTACCTTCTTCAACTAGCTTCTTGAGCTCTCCCATCTTGGAAGTGACAAACAACACAAAATTTATTTAAGAACAGCAAAAGGTATAGTCTTTATAACAAGGTCATGAACTGTAGCTCACCAATTAGAGCTCAGAACAAACCCTAATGGATAAGCTAGCAATTTCACAAAGAGTGACCCCAAGCACAAACCAATAAACCATCATCCTAAACACTATTTTCATTTCAGCACTCTTGAAGAGTTGAAGTAGTGATCTATAGTAACTTCCAATTTCATTTGAGAGTAAGAGAGCTTACAGTGATTTCAATAGGGACACGAGTATCGATCCGATGCTGATAGTAAAGATCAATGCTTTTTACATCTAGACGCTTCAAACTAGCTTCACAAGCAGCTCTCACATACAAAGGATCTCCCTTTATCTCTCTCTTTCCCTCTGCAAAGCTGATTCCGAATTTACTCGCAAGCTCCACTTTCTCCCTCAACCCATCATCCTTCAGAGCCTGACAGAATTAAAGCTTCCAAATCATTTTTCCAAAGAATCGGAGTCTAAAGTCGAGATCTTTGTTCGAAGATCGAGCTAAAATGATCAAATCGCAAATGGGGAACTTCAGAATCGAACCTTTCCGAGGAGCAACTCGTTGGTCTCAGGACCGTATATGTCGGAGGTGTCGAGGAAAGTGACGCCGGAGTTAATAGCGTGGTGGAGAAGAGCGACGGCTTCAGTTTCCGGTTTCGGAGCACCGTAGAAGGAGGAGAGGCCCATGCAACCAAGACCTTGCGCCGATACCTCAAGTCCTTGGCTTCCCAGCTTCATCCTCCTCACTCCGCAAGCTTCCGCCATTGATTTTTGTTCACAAACTTCGATCTTTCTCTCTTTGACTGACTCTTTGTAGAGTTTTGAATTGAGTGGAGAGGTTGTTGGGTTGGTGAATGGTGATGAATCATGATGAAAAAAAAAGCTTTTTCTTTTCTCTGCAATAAAAAGGTAATGGAATTTTCCAAAGTCAACAAATTAAGAAATCGTTGACTCCGGTCCGGTTACATTACTTAACCGTATAAACTCTCAGGCGGCTTTAAGGGGATTTCCAAGAAGACAATGGTGGAGTGTCTGAGTTGTTGAAGTTAGGCACCATAGCTGTAACTCTTTCTCCTTTCACAGAATCTGGTTGGCCAATGGTATCAAGCTCAGACATTTCTTGTGTAGTGAGTTTCACTGATAAAGCTCCAATGTTCTGGTTGAGGTTCTCGATCTTTGTTGTTCCTGGGATGGGACAAACATCATCTCCCTGATGATGAATCCACGCCAAGGCTAGTTGTGCAGGAGTGCATCTTTTCTTCTCTGACATTGCACAAACTTTCTCGTAGAGAATCTTGTTGTGGTCTAAGTTTTCTTGTTGGAATCTTGGTAGATTCTACAATAAAGAACACACAAATGAGCAGATAACACTTTGATTGATGAATGATGATTTACCAACTAAGGTTTATCAATCAAAGAAGACATACAAAGCAATATTTACTTGCCTTTCTATAGTCATTCTTGTCTAGTTTATCAAGAAGATTTGGTCCTGATGCGAAGAAGCCTCTTCCTAGAGGACTGTAAGCAACAATCCCAATCCCAAGTTCCCTGATGAAAGCAAAGAGAAGACATTACATGATTCGATATTCTCTAAATAGGAAAAAGTGTAAAACTCTAAAGGACTTCAAGACAGCAAATAAACCATTAGTAATCAGCATTTGCCTTAAGGTAAAAGCTAAGCTTCTAAACTTCATTCTCAAGGAAAGAAAGAGAAGACCTTTACATGATTTTTGATGGATAATGCACCAAGAATAGAGGATGCATACCTGCAGGTAGGAATGATTTCTTCTTCCACGTCTCTCGTCCACAAGGACCACTCTAACTGCACAGCGGTTATCGGATGAACAGCATGTGCTCTTCTGATAGTTGAGGCAGAGGCTTCAGACAAACCAATGTAATTTATCTTACCTTCTTCCACTAGCTTCTTGAGCTCTCCCATCTTAGAATTCACAATCAATAAAATAATTGTTAAGAACAGCAAAAAGGTATCGTCTTTCTATCAAGGTCATGAACTGTTGGACACCAATTAGAGCTTAGAAGCAAGAGAAAGCAAAAGGTTCCGGCTTTCTATCAAGATCAGTCAAAGATCAATTCACCAGACATTGGCTCTTAATGAATAAGCCAGAAATTACAGAAAGAGTGACACAAAGTGTAAAACATTATCAAAAGTCACATTCTTTGACTCTATTACTTAGAACAAATCACAAGCCAAAGAAGTGATGCTCCTCACTGAACTAGTAACTTCCACTAAAAATTGAAAACCATTAGCATGAAGTAGAATTGAGAAAAAAGGCTTACTTACAGTGATTTCGATAGGAACACGAGTATCAATCCGATGCTGATAATAAAGGTCAATGCTTTCCACATCTAGCCGCTTCAAACTAGCCTCACAAGCAGCTCTCACATACAAAGGATCTCCCTTTATCTCTCTCTTTCCCTCTGCGTAAATGATTCCGAATTTCGTCGCAAGCTCTGCTTTTTCCCTCAACCCATTATCCTTCAGAGCCTGAATACAAGTTCAAAATTGCAACAACTGAATCATAATTGCAGATAACGAAGCTTGTAGAATCTATAAAGTTGTTCTCTTTTTTGCTCAAAAGCGAAAAGAACTCAACAAAATAGCGAAAATCAAGCAATCGCAGGTGGGGAATTATCGAAAAATCGAACCTTTCCGAGGAGCAATTCGTTGGTGCCAGGACCGTAGCTGTTGGCGGTGTCAAGGAAAGTGACGCCGGAGGCAATGGCGTGATGAAGAAGAGCGATGGAGTCAGTTTTCGGCTCCGGGATGTTGAAGAAGGAGGAGAGGCTCATGCAACCAAGGCCTTGCGCCGATACTTCAAGGCCTTGGCTTCCCAGCTTCATCCTTCTCACTCCGCAAGCTTCCGCCATTGATTCCGCTCAGCTCACAACTTGTCTCTGTGATTCTTGTAGAGTTGTAAACTGAGTGGAGTTGGACTAGAGAGTGGTGAAGTGGTGATGATGAATACTAATCTATGAACCAAAAATTAGTATTTGTATTGCCAAAATATTAAGCTTAATATTTGATATTTTTTTAACATTTTCATTTTTGCAACATAAATGGTAAAAAATTGAAATATAGTTTTCTTCTAAAGTTGCAACTTTTTAAAATATTAAATTTATTTAGTGAATTTCAGTATAGTTTCTCTCATATCTATTTGTTTGTTCACTGTATTTTTTTGCTATTGTTACTGTTGTGAACAAAAAAGTTTGTTTCATAGCAAAGAAACTTCTTAAAAGTAGCACAAAACAAAAGTGGAATTTCACAATTAGCAAAAACAATATATAAGGTTTTTTGTAGCTGTAACAGATCTTTGAATATTTGGTCACAATGTTTTGAAACGTATATTGAAGTTTTCATTTGAGGAACTCTCTATATACAAGAGTTATTCTTCAAGGCATTAACAATGATATTTGGGGTAATCTACTCTCGAAGACTACGCAGCACATTTTATTACTTTGATCTGGCTGAAGTAGTCTTATTACGTTAGTGTCATGCACCACGTTAGTGTTCTTGAAAGTGGGCATGTTGTTATCATATCATAAAAGAGTACATATTTCAAATCATTAAAAATTAGTGTAGACTTCAAATTATTAATAAAATTTAGGGTATACAATAATGTTCTCATAAAAGAAAAAAAAAACACAAAAAAAAGGTGGGTTTAGGTTTAGCCGTTTAGGACACGGCAAGAAGATTGTTCAAAGACATGAGACACTCAATGTGTTCGGGAAAATAATCAAATATTAACTTCTTATCGTCGATTCCTTCGTATTCGACTTTTCTTACGCTACCTTTCTTGAGATCGTAATTGTTAGCATACATTGGCTCTTCCGATGACCACGTTGGTAAGTAAATCAACTCACCATCAGCAGTTTCACCACTCAATAATAAATAGAATAATCTGGCCACCGTAACGATTTCAAATGGCAAAACGGATTCTTCCTGCAACCATTCATGTTTCTCAGCATCCTCTAAAACCCATAAGTTGATCAGTTCATTATCTTGAATAGTAAACCAAGCTAACCTTCCCATGTGGCTTATAAAACCAACATCGATTTCGCTGAAATGCAGTCTCTGAATTTGATTTACCACTATCTTTGGTGTTTGGATCACTTTAAACTTTTCGGACCTCACATCGAAGCTCACTACAGTATCTTGAGCTGAGTAATAATAGACAACTCCTTTGATGCATCTCCAAATTCTCATGGTGGGATGAATAAGGCTAGGGCTGTTTTGGAGTGTTCTCCAAGTCTCTCCAGCTCCCACTGTAAAAATTTGAGCCTCTTGGCCATTTAGTGACATGCTCAAAACTTTGTATTCACCACCGATTGGATCGTATCCCAACATGGTTATGAAGGGTCTGGAGAGTTTAGCCTCCGGTAAAGTGACATGTTGTCTCAAGGTAGGGTTCCAAATTATGAAACTCTCAAAACTTTGAAAGGAAATCAAACCGTTGACGGATTGAGGAATATCACAGCTGTTCTCACTAAGAGGGAGCATCATCTGATATTCTTCGACCCGAATTTGAGGATAGTCGAGACGATACGGCAATGAGTAGACCAAGACACGCTCGTCCTCTTCTTTCTTGACGGCCAGAAGACAAGGCCGTGCCAAAGAGCGAACGGCAAAAGACTTGACGAAGTGGGGACTAGTGATCGTAGACGACCAGAGCTTTGACACGCAAGGAAACCTTCCAATGGATTTCGCCGGAAGTCTCAACAGTATTTCCATAGCTAGGTCAAGAGGAATCAATGAAGATTCAGTTCTATCTTCTGCGGTTTCCACGCTTAGTGTATATCTCTTTCTAGTAATGTTCCTCCTACACGCCACATATATATATGGTTTACTTTTCCTTTGGTAAAAATAAAACAAGTTTGCATTCTTCTCGTTATCAACTCCATGCACACATATAAATACCTAATAGTACAAAATAGCTTGGGAATCAAGTTTTCTTTTCTCAACGAAAATAAAATGGAATTTGTTAACAAAATATTTTTGTATGAATTACGGAAATTTTCCAAAGTCAAATTTCGGTTTCCAAATTTAATTCTAAGTCAGATAAGTTCGACATAACTTTCCAAAGTTGTGAATTTAATAACAAAAAAATGAGCAAGTTTAATTCTGTTTTTAGTCGTTTAAAATTCTTTATTTATTTGTAATGTTTATTTAAATTGAGTTAAGGCAAGCTAGCTCTATAAATTCTAATCACTTTGAGAATCAGCGAACAACAAAAAGCCCTAACCCTAATAATCTTTCTTCAGATATGACAAACAGTATAATCGTCCGATATGGAGACTGCTTCCATTGCATCAAGTAGACTTTTTATGTTTTCATCATCAATCGAAAAAGGAACAAAGTAAGAAACATAACACATCTTAATTGCATAAAACTTAACGAGTGATCACTTGTTATTTGCGAGCATCTACTTTCTTGGCGTCTCTCGCTGCTTTTTCCTCTTCTCGCTTCTTGGCAGCTTCTTCTCTCTGTTGGCGAATCAGAGCCAAACGATCCAAATCCTTTCTTGCTTGTTCGGTTTTGCCTTGCTCCTGCAACCTCATGTATCGCTCACGAGCTCTCTGCTTCTCTAGCTCCTCTCTTTCGCGCCTTGAGAGCTCAGTGGTCTTTATAGCATCAAGGTCTTTAGCTTTCAAGGTCTTTGGTTTTGCCCTGTTAGGGTTTTCAACTTCGATAAGAGCTTCATGACCTTTCTTCTTCACATCACACTCATCTTCGGATTCTTCTTCAGATTCCTCCTCATACTCCTCTTCGATATCCTCTTCATATTCAGCTTCTTTCTTCTTGAAAGACTTAGGACGTGCAGCAGAAGTGCCAGCAAGTATCTCAGCTGCACTGGAGAATACGCGTTCGCGTGTGGGCTTCCCCTTGAACTTGCCTCTTCCCATTGTTTCAAATTCCGAGAGAGAACAATTAAAAAATTATAGAAGAAAAACGAAACCAGAGAATTGGATTCTTTTGTAGTGGAGGATCTCGTCCTCTCTTCCGGTGATATATATAGAAACGAAAACCCTAAAAGCCACGAATATAAAATGGAATTTATTAACAAAAAAAGGAAAGTTATGAATTACGGAAAACTTCCAAAGTTAAATTTCGGTTTTTCCAAATTAAACTTTAGTCACAATTCTACATAATTTTCCCAAGTTGTGAATTTATTAACAAAAAAGAAAAGAAAAAAAGCGACCAAGTTTGATTCTGTTTTTAGTCGGTTAAATTTCTTTATTTATTTGTAATGTTTATTTAAATTGAGTTAGGCAAGCTAGCTCTATAAAATCTAATCAATTTGAGAATCAGTGAACCAAAAAAAAACCCTAACCCTAAATGGTGGACTAGAGAGTGGTGAAGTGGTGATGATGAATACTAATTTATGAACCAAAAATTAGTATTTGTATTGCAAAAGTAAATGAGCTTAATATTTGATTTTTTTTGTTAACATTTTCATTTTTGCAACATAAATTGTAAACATTGAAATATAATTTTCTTCTAACGTTGCAACTATTTGCAATATAAATGAAATACCTAATACAAAATAGCTTGGGAATCAAGTTTTCTTTTCTCAACGAAAATAAAATGGAATTTATTAACAAAATATTTTTGTATGAATTACGGAAATTTTCCACAGTTAATTTTCGGTTTCCAAATTAAACTTCCAGTCACATAAGTTTTACATAATTTTCCAAAGTTGTGAATTTATTAACAAAAACAAAAAACCGACCAAGTTTGATTCTGTTTTTAGTCGGTTAAATTTCTTTATTTATTTTTAATGTTTATTTAAATTGAGTTAGGCAAGCTAGCTCTATAAAACCCAATCACTTTGAGAATCAGTGAACCAAAAATAAAAACCCTAACCCTAATAATCTTTCTTCGGATATCACAAACACTCTAATCGTCCGATATGGAGACTGCTTCCATTTTCTCAAGTAGTCATCCGCCGTCTTCTCCTCCGATGAGGTTCGAAGAGGTTGTAAAGAGATTCCAGACTTTTAGAAACATCGCTACTGAGGAACCCATTGAAGAGGAAAAGCTAAGGACCCTTCTCGCTAACAAGGCTTCTCCGATTTGCTACGACCGGTTCGAACCATCAGGAAGGATGCACATCGCTCAGGGACTGATGAAAGTCATCAACGTCAACAAACTGACCTCATCTGGTTTCCGTGTGAAAATCGTGATCGCCGATTGCTTCACTCAGCTGAACAACAAACGCGGCGGCGACTTGAAGAAAGCCAGAGTCGTTGGTGAGTACTTTAAAGAGATATGTAAAGCCGTTGGGATGATGAACAACAAAGTAGAGTTTCTGTGGTCGTCGGAGGTAACCAATGCTAAGCCGGACAAGTACTGGCCTCTTGTGATTGACATTGCTCGCATTTACAAGGTACGAGATGCTCAGACCGATGAGCTGAGTACTCCTGAGACCGATAAGCCGAGTACTCCTGAGACCGATAAGCTGACCGATAAGCTGAGTACTCCTGAGACCAATAAGCTGACCGATAAGCCGAGTACTCCTGAGACCGATAAGCTGACCGATAAGCTGAGTACTGCTGAGACCGATAAGCTGAGTACTCCTGAGACCGATAAGCCGAGTACTGCTGAGGCTCTCTACCCATGCGTGCAGTGTGCAGATATCTTGTTCCTCGAGGCTGATATTTGCTTGCTTGGGATGGATCAAAGAGAAGTGAACAAGCTAGCGAGAAACTACTATGAAGACAAGACACCGGTAATCTTGTCGCAGCATATGCTTCCTGGTCTCAAACAAGGAGAAGAGAGCATGTCCAAGAGTGATCTTGCCATCTTCATGGAAGATGAGGAGGCTCAAGTTAACGTGAAGATCAAGAAAGCCTACTGTCCTCCGAAGATTGTGGAAGGCAATCCATGCCTCGAGTACGTTGAACACATCGTCTTGCCGTGGTTTGACGAGTTTGCGGTTGAGCGGAGGGAGGAACACGGCGGTGACAAGACGTTCAAAAGGATTGAAGAGATTGTTGCGGATTACGAGAGTGGAGAGTTGCATCCTGAGGATCTGAAGAAAGGTCTGACGAAGGCGTTGAATAGGATTCTGCAACCTGTTCGTGATCATTTCAAAACGGATGCTCACGCCAAGAGTCTGCTTAGACAGATCAAGGCTTACAAGAAATAGAGAGCAGCAAGGGTTTTAGTCTTACTTTGTGTGTTTATTGTTTCAGCAAATCATTTTCTCTTAATTACTTTATTAAAACTTAATTAGTATTATTTCCAAAAGATTATCATGCAACACAACAACTTCAACGTTATTATTACCTCGTATTGGGCTGTCATAAGCTCTCAAACGGTATTAAGCTTTCCAAGAAGATAATGGTGGAGTGTCAGAGTTCTTGAAGGTGGGAACCATGGCGGTGTATCTTTCTCCTTTCACAGACTCTGCTTGGCCAATGGTCTCGAGCTCAGTCATCTCTTCGGGAGTGAGTTTCACCGATAAAGCTCCGATGTTCTGGTTGAGGTTTTCGATCTTTGTGGTTCCAGGGATGGGACAAACATCATCTCCCTGGTGATGAACCCATGCGAGAGCTAGTTGTGCAGGTGTGCATCCTTTCTTCTCTGACATTGCACAAACTTTCTCGTAGAGAGTCTTGTTGTGGTCTAAGTTCTCTTGTTGGAATCTTGGTAGAGTCTGCAATCAAAGAAAACAGAGTTGAGGATAGATAATAGTCACTGATGAATGCAAATAACAGTTAGTAGTTGCCTTTCTGAAGTCATCATTGTCCAGCTTCTCAACAAGCTTGGGTCCTGTTGCAAAGAAGCCTCTTCCTAGTGGACTATAAGCTACAATCCCAATCCCAAGTTCCCTGATGAAAGAAAAAGACAAGATCAAGTCACATAGCTGATGAATAATGCACCAAGAAAAGAGGATGGAATCTTGAATCTTGATACCTGCAGGTAGGAATGATTTCTTCTTCCACGTCTCTCGTCCACAAGGACCATTCTAACTGCACGGCGGTTATCGGATGAACAGCATGCGCTCTTCTGATGGTTGAGGCAGAGGCTTCAGATAAACCAATGTACTTTATCTTACCCTCTTCCACTAGCTTCTTGAGCTCTCCCATCTTGGTACCAGCATACAAAACAAATTTACAAATTCAGCAAAAGCTGTACCAGTTTTCTTCTAAAGATCAGGAAGTGTGGCTGATCATAACTCATAAGCAACGGCAAATGAGTCTAATTTCACAAAACAAGAAGCTAGCAGTGTCACAAACAGAGGAAACAATGTAAAGCAAGCCCAAAATCTACTTCCTTAGCCAAAGACTAACCAACTTGGAAACTTTGAAACCATGGCATGAAGGAGGATTTGCAGGAGGAGGTCTTACAGTGATTTCGATAGGGACACGAGTATCCACACGATGCTGATAATAGAGATCAATGCATTCCACATCTAGCCGCTTTAAACTCGCCTCACAAGCAGATCTCACATAAGCAGGATCTCCTCTTACTTCTCTCTTTCCCTCTGCAAAAGTGGCTCCAAATTTGGTCGCAAGCTCCACTTTCTTCCTCACTTTATCATCATCCTTCAGAGCCTATAGCCAAAAAAAATTCAACATCTCAACAATGCAAAATCATTTCTACAATACGTGAATGCTAATGTCAATTTCCAATTTCAGCTTGTTGTTCTTCGTTTCTCACCAACGTATAACGATCAATCCAAAATCAAGCATCTAAATTGAGCGGAAATGAAACAGATCATGATTATATTGCAGATCGGGAATTTTCGAAATTCGAACCTTGCCGATGAGCAATTCGTTGGTCTGAGGGCCGTATACATCGGAGGTATCAAGGAAAGTGACGCCGGAATCAATTGCGTGGTGGAGGAGAGCGATGGCTTCAGTTTCCGGCTTGGAAGGACCGTAGAAAGCGGAAATGCCCATGCAACCGAGACCTTGCGCCGATACCTCAAGGCCTTGGCTTCCCAGCTTCATCTTCCTCACTCCGAAATTCGCCATGGATTTTTCTCTCACACCTCTCTTTCTCTCTCTCTCTCTCTCGATCGATCGAGTTTTGATTCGTTCTCTGAAATTGGTTACTGTTGTACACTTGTTTTAGTGATGATGATGATGAAGAAAATAGCCGGAGAGTAAATAACGGTTTAAAATTTGGTTTACTATCCAATTCGATCAATAACTCAAACCGATCTGAGTAACCGAAATATTTGGTTTGGGAATTTCATTTAGCCAATTAACCGGTTCTCTTTTCAGGTTTTCTGTTCTGTTTGCAACTTGCAACACAAGTAAACTCATTACAACATAAACTTGTTCATTGGCTCTTTCTTATTGTAAACATGTCCACAGACAGCACACACACACACACACAAACATATAGATTCTGGCCAATGCCTTAATCGCGTTTACACTCAAACCAGTTACCAAACAGATAATAAACTCAGGAGATGAGACAAAGAAAGTTCTTCTCCAAAGATGTGTGTTTTATGTTGGTTTCCAAGAAGATAATGGTGGAGTCTCCGAGTCCTTATAAGTAGCCATGTTGTTATCATACCGTTCACCTTTAACAAGATCCGGTCGAGCAATGGCTTCAAGCTCAGCCATCTCTTCAGTAGTGAGCTTCACGGCTAAAGCTCCAATGTTCTGGTTTAGGTTTTCGATCTTGGAAGTTCCTGGAATGGGACACACATCATCTCCTTGGTGATGAACCCAAGCCAGAGCCAGTTGCGCAGGAGTGCAGCTTTTCTTTGTCGCCATCGCTAGAACTTTCTCGTAGAGAATCTTGTTGTGGTCTAGATTCTCTTGTTGGAATCTTGGTAGATCCTGTGACACGGCAATATCATCAAATCTTGAAATGTGCTCCAAACAGCTCAAGGAAGTGAATCAATGATGTAAAACTTGCCTTTCGATAATCATCTTTGTCAAGTTTCTCAACTAGCTTAGGTCCTGATGCAAAGAAGCCTCTTCCTAGAGGGCTATAAGCTACAATACCAATCCCAAGCTCCCTAGAGAGATCACAAGAGACATGAATTAATATATGTAAATGGAGAGGAAAGTTAGGGTTGATTCTGATTCCTCTTGATACCTGCAAGTAGGAATGATATCTTCTTCAACGTCTCTTGACCATAAGGACCATTCTATCTGCACAGCGGTTATCGGATGAACAGCATGTGCTCTTCTAATTGTTGAAGCTGAAGCTTCAGACAAACCAATATACTTTATCTTACCTTCTTCCACAAGTTTCTTCAGTTCTCTTATCTTTGAAAAAAAAACATTCACACAAACCAGCACAAGAAAAAGAGCACTGTATGAGATTTATCAGTAGCATTGAGGAAAAGTTGGAGTATAATTCAAACTAAGAAGAAACCGTACCGTGACTTCGATGGGAACAGTGGTATCAATACGATGCTGGTAATAAAGATCAATGGAGGTAACACCAAGACGCCTTAAGCTTGCCTCACAAGCAAACCTCACATACTCTGGATCTCCCCTGATACCAAATTTTCCATCTTCAGAAGAAGCAGTGATCCCAAATTTTGTAGCTAATTCCACTTTCTCCCTCAAACCGTCTTTCAAAGCCTGCCATGAAAATATCAAACAGCTCCAGTTATGAATCTCAAACCCTAAAATCATAGCCTAAAACCCTAAATCCTAAAATCAGATCAGTGACTAAGTTTATACCTTGCCTAGGAGCAGCTCGTTTGTCTCAGGTCCATAGATGTCGGAGGTGTCTAGGAATGTGACGCCGGCGTTAATGGCGTGACGGAGGAGAGCGACGGCGTTGGTCGCAGGAGTTGGAGCGCCGTAGAAGGCGGAGAGACCCATACAACCAAGTCCCTGAGCTGAAACCTCAAGGCCTTGGCTCCCAAGCTTTATCCTCCGTACTCTGCAAGCTTCCTCCATTTGTGAATCAAATTGTTCTCCAAAATTATCTAAAATGGGTTTTGTGGGATTCAGGAGGAGATTGTAGTGGGATATATAAGAGTGGAGTGTATAAAGCAATGTTTTTAGAGTTTTAAATTAGTAAAAAAAATGCAGCCGTTGACGTCATTGATGATTCACAACACAGCACGCCACTCACTAATTTCCAACATTTTTTATAGTTTTAGAATTTCAAAAAAAATGGACTCCTACAAAAGAACACAGTAGCTATAATCATCATTAGTTAGCATTAGAAATTCATTTGTTCTTTTTCTTTTTTGAAAAAATATACATTTAGGATAAGGCAATAATAACTAGATAAGATGATTCACAATCCCATTATCAAATTAAAATGTTATACTTTTCAAACACTTTTTGGATATTTTCACTCATTATTATTCAATACTAGTACATTACATTAACTAGACGCAAAGAGATATTCGAATGCTATTTATTAATCCCAAATTATCACTCAAAACACCACTAAAAAACTATTCTAAAAAATCACGTCAAAAATAAAACTCTCTTCAATTCAAACTATAGATAGATCCATACATCCATCAATGCGTCACTACAGCAGAATGCAAAAAGAATTCGGAACGGCAGTCACATCCATCATAAGTATAAACAGATTTAGACCATTCTATACAACCTCGAAGCCTTGTTATACCGTATATCTGAAAGAAGTGAAACGAAATCTCAGCGCACCAAATATCCGTTTTACAGTCCTTAGTGTAGTGGCGACCTTGACGGCGATACTCCACCGTCTTCCACCAAACTGTCACTCTTCTTCCACCGGAGTTTGCCACCGAAACAGGACGAGTAGGAAAATATGAAGAGGGGGACAGTTTTTCAAGTCCCTCAACAACACACCACAACGAATATTCATTTTCACGCCAAAATAGTTCACTACCGGAGATATGTATTTCGCGCCACATGTTGGACTCTATCTCTGCCAAGCAAATATCCGGCTTGGAGCTAAGACTCAAACCATTCACCTCGTAAACTTTTCCACCCATTACCAATCTACCTGGAACCACACTCTTCTGAGTGGTGAGATCTAGTGTTGTGGGCGATAACGGTTCCCAAGCTTGTGTCTTTGGATCATAAACCTCACCCCAATGCTTGCTGCAGCCTCCAATCACATAGATCTTACCGTCAATTACTTCCGCCGCTGGTCGTTCTCGAGGTACAATCATGTCAGGTAGGCTACGCCATCGATGAGATTCGAGGAAAAGCATTCTTCTGCTTCTTTTTCCATCTACTAATCCGCCGATTAGATACATCTCTGAACCTATTGAAACGATAGTTGAGGATTCTGGATGTTGATAAGGAAACAAATCAGAGACTGGAAGCAGTTTCTGTCGTTTGGGAATTGGTGCAAGTGCGTACCAGCGAGGTACAATCATGTCAGGATTAGGTTTGTTCTTATTTAGGTCCAAGCATACATAGAGGCATTCCTCGGTTTTTCCCATGCGTGATCGTGTTGCGTCGAGCTCAGCGGATGCGATGAGTGATCGGAAACTCTTGGAGACGAGAGATAAAGTTGGACGATGGATTCTTGAGATACGAGCCAAACAACTGACAACGATTTCGTACGGTAACGACGAGAACGAAGTCGGAGGAGGATGTGATTCTGATGATGATTTCTTCATCTCTTCCATGTTCATGCCTGCGGATGATTTGATTTCTTTTAGGATCACGTTAGGCTTTCGTCTTTATATAGAGAAAAGAAAAAGTTAAACAATAGTGTGTTTGGATTCCGATTCCTTGATGGCCTAGGTTAGGGTTTCTGTCCACTTTATAACTATTACAATGTTTTGTTAACTTACTTGTATTAACGTCCCGTCAAAATGTAAATGTATACTACTTCTTATTTTTTCTAAAATCAAATTCACTAAAATCTTATATCCTAATTCTAAACCGTAAATTAAACAAACCAACCCAAAATTCTAAATTTAAACCATAAACCACAAATTATAAACCATAAACTTTTATTCCAAAATAAAAACATTAAATGAAAATTAGTAAAAGGTATTTAAAAGTCATTCTAAACCCTTATATCTAACCCTTAAATCTAACCCTTACATGAAAATAGAATCTAACACTTAAACATTTTTGTATGATAACATTTTTTTTTTAATGAATATATTTTTGTTAACACCTATAACAAATTTCAAGTAAAATCATATGATAAATCTTAAACTCTAAACCCTAAACGTAATTAATGATTATATATATCTAAAATTTATAATCTACACTAATAAATAATTTCAAAAGTATTCAAACCTAATTTTGGAAAACACAAACCCCAAATCCCTAATCCAAAATCTTAATTTCTAAAACAAAAATCTGAAACCCTATATTATAAATTCATGTTACCCTTCAACTTTACACTCAAACATAAAACCTAAATCCAAAAGATTTAAAATTACTAATAAAATTAGTTATGAGTGAGATATGTCATCAAATGACATTAAAAATAATATTTTGAAAAATTAATATGAGACTACAAAAATGATATTTAAATCCCAATATTTTACATTTCAAATTGCAGAAAAGAGTAGATGGATTCTCATTAGTTAATACTAGGTTTGAAGCCCCGCGCAAGCGCGGGGTTGTTTGCGATAGTTTTTCTGTTTAATTTTATTTATACTCGTTGATTTGAATTATGATGGTTTTGTGTTAACTTTCATGTTTTTGTTATGTTTTGAGTTAACTCAACACAACACTAACACTAAAAAATATGAATAATTTTTTTTATTTTAATTTATTAGGATATTAACACTGCTTTATCTTGAGTTTTCTATTTCTAAAATTTTATCATGTTATAAATATTATGTTTACTTCTATTAGACTGTAAACATGTATATGTATTTGATTGAAGGTTAAAATTTATAAATATGTATATGCATTTGACTGAAGGTTAAAATTTGTAAACATATTCTTGTTTTTCACTACAATTAAATTTACATATAAAACTCCATTTCTATTTGTTTAGAAAAACAAACTAACTCTAACTCTAATGTTTCATTAGCTTTCTATTATCTTAATTAATTTATATTCAACTTTTTAACTTGTAAACACATTATAACATTTTTAAATAGATAAATCCTTTGAATAAAAAGTAAATATATACTATTTGAAGTTAAATATTTCTTTACTCCATCTCTATTTTATATTCCAACTTTTTGATAACTTTTAACATCAAATTATCACATACTTTCTATTAATTAATTTAATTTATTTGTATATTTTTATTAAATATGAATAAATGTAAAGAAATATGAATAGTCATATATTTAATTAAATAATTTAAATACAATTTAATATGTGGACACTCTAGATGGAGAGAGCAACTCTCCTATTATATATAAGATATCTCTAACGCACATAAATTTTCACACTTTTTTTCTTTCTCCTCCTTCCTTTTTTCTTCGAAGGTGTATCTCCTCATCAGTATCTTTAAAACCGGACTGAAAAATGTATGGATCACGGATTAACGCGGTTCAATTATCTTTAGTATAACATGTACTATTTATATTATCGATGTACCATATTATGTTTTGTTTTATTGCTTAATTTACAGCAAACAATTTTTTGAAAAAGGCATTAATTTAATAATTAAAGCCCTAGAAAGATGATGTGTCTTCGTCTTCTCCAAAACACTCGCCGACCATCCCTCTTCCTGTTTTCAAAATCTAAAGTTTTCTGTAAAATACACCAAAAAATTATCATGAAAGCTTCACAAGTTTAAGAACCGCGCTCCATAACGCCGACGGATGGACCGTTGCAGGAGGCATTCTGTCGCAGGAATTCAGAGGTTATGAAAGTGCTTTTGAGGCATCACAACCGATTTGGCGTGGTGTAAATGGTGGCGGCGGTGTTACTGCGATTGATAGTTGTTCTCTGTCGTATGCGAGATTTTTACGTGGAGATCTCTTTCCACTTGGAGAGCTTGGTGATTCCTTTCGTCGGAAAAATGGCTCCATCTAATAATTACACGCCCGATCACCGTCCCCGCTTTTATCGTCGTGGGTCTAGCTTGGTTCTTCCTCTATATTTTTCACGAGAAGCCCCTCAGGATCTTCGACTTCACAATCGATGACGGCGTTGTGGCGGTGCTTCTCGTCAGTCTTTCAATCGCGTGAAGTCGAGAAGGCGGAGAACATGAAAAGTTTTTTTGTGAATTGTTTTTTTAGTCGTTCAAAAAAAATAAAAAAATAAAATGCCATATGACAATTTTGTAGCAAACTTAAAATGCTGATGTGGCAGAAATCTGGAGAGAGTTATCCTCTCATTATAATATAGATTAAGTTGTTTAACAGAATATATCTTTGCCATACGAATAATCAATCGGTGGTTAAAGATGTCTAACAACAGTAGTATAAGGTGCAAGTCATCTTTTTCTTAACTTACGCTCACTTGAGCTGCAAGTCATCATCATGTAGTGAACTAAAATAAACTTTGATTAATATTTTCCATATTCAAATTTCATATAACGTTGCAATACTTAAATCCAATAACTCTCCATAATCCGAAGATTAGTTTCCTCCTGAAAATAAGTTAGACCTCAAACAAATCAGATTTATTGTAACCAAGAAAACAAATATCAGAAAACTCCCATTTACCAATAACTCAGAAACCTAAACAGATCTTTCTATACATAGCGTAATAAGAAATTTAATTAGAAAAAATTTCCCATAATTATTTCTTTCTAGTTTTAAATAAGAAAAAATTTATAATCGAAAAAAAATAATGGCGGGCTGCAACAAAACTCAGCTCTACCTCACGACCATCGCCGTTACCGTGATCATCTTGACGGCGAGCCAAGCCGCGGAAGCGCGTTTCAAGAACCTTTGCAGCCAAACCGCATATCCAGCGTTGTGTCATCCGCTGGTGAAAGGCCCCAACCCGAGACGAGCCACGCACAGCACCATTCGAGCCCTAGAGGCTAAGACGAAACTGACGCTCGCAGACGCTTCGAGGCACAGATTCGCAAACCCACAAGCCGCGGTTTGCTGCGCGACTCTTGCAGACGCGGCTTTCAATCTTGAGAACGCGAGGAAAAGCATCAGGCAACGCAACAAGCTGGCGCTGAAAATGTTTTTGACCGCGGCGGTTTCGGATTACGGCGTTTGCGTCGACGGGTTTATAGAAACGCGTCAGGTTAACGCCGTTCAGAACGCTGTGGACGAGCTGAGGAAGATGGGTACTAACTGCTTAATGCTTGCTCAATTGCTTAGATGATCGAATAAATAAATGAAAATTATTTCCTCAAAAACTAACAGAATATATTGTTCTTGATTATGTAAATCTTGTAGGGTGTTCTTGATCTACATCAATTGTGTAATGTAATTATATTAGAAATTTTAGCCATTTCAAAAATCTGACTTTCTTTGATTCTTAATCAGATTTTAACAGCTTTTTGATGGATTTTTGGTGGTTTATTTTTCCAAAATTTGACGATAATTCAGTACAAACGTATTTTTGCAGAAACTATGATCGAACCACGAAAAAAAAACACATGAAAATAATTTCCCCAACAGAGAATTATTCTTGATTTATGTAGATTTTGTATTAGTTGTGTAACGCAATTATATTAGACGTTTTAGAGGTTCCAAAAATCATACTTTCTTGATTCTCAATATATACTTAACAGATTTTAACAACTTTTTGATGGAATTTTGGTGGTTTCTTTTTCCAAAAATTTGATGATAAATCAGTTAAACGGAATTAACAGAAAAAAATGAAATTTTTGCAGTTACCAAAACATCAAAAGAGGGGATTACAACGTGAGAGAGTCATCTTCTTCTCTCTCGAAACAATTCACAAAAACATGAAAAAAAAACAGAGTTAGCTGAAGTAAAACAGAGACACATACGATTGATTTGCAGATTCTCAATCACATAAATAAGAGTCTAATTTTTATTACCAATAAGAAACAGAGCTTGTGAGATAATAAAAGTGCCACTACAAGACTAATGAAGAAGAAAGAGATAAAGAAACAAACCTCACTCCTCTGAACATATTTCTTTGAGCAGCTTCTTCGTCGCTTCACCAACCTCAACATTCTCCATCTTCAAGCGCCGGTGCATCGCAGGATGACTCTTCCCCGCTGCAGCATACGTTCTAATCAACGACTCAAAGATCTCTGCGCCAATCTTATCCTTCACCTTCTTCAAAACCTCCACCAAACTCTCAGCTCCATTAACATCTCTCTTCTCCTCAAAACCGCTCAATAAACTCCTGACCGTTTCCTGCGACGGTATCCACTTGCCACCGTCTCCTTTCCCGAGTTTAACCGCCTTCGACATACATTCAACCGCTTGAGCCATATCACCGTTCTTCACATAATAGTCCATGAAGATCTCCCATGTCTTAGCATTAAGCTTCCCTCCTCTTCTCGGAGATTTCTCCTTAAGCTCTCTCGCCTTCTCGATGAGACCTTCTTTCGCATAAGCTCCAATCATCACATTCACAACCCTAACGTCATAAGGAGAACAGTTCGCTTGCCACTCCTTGAACAAAGTCTCTGCGCCTGGCAAATCATCAAGATTCACCAGAACTTGTATCATGTTCAGATACGCTACGTTCGTGGTTCTCGGAATCGCCAGCCTCAACGAACGCCAAACCCTGTAAACATCAGCAAGCTTCCCCAATCTTCCATACAAAGTGATGAGAAACTGATACGCCGTGAAATCTCGGTTCGTGTTCTTCAACTCAAGCTCCTGAAGAGCCTTCTCAGCTTTCTCAGTGAGCTTCGCGTCGACGTAGATAGACGCCATGTTGCTGTACGTGGTCCAATCAGGAGCAACTCTCCCATCTCTGTTCATCTCTTCAATAACTCTCTCGACACCGGAGAGATCGTCTTTAGCAGCCAATGCTCTCATCCATACGTTGTACGTGTACGAATCCGGCATTACGTTCTCAGCCTTCATTTCTTGAATCACTCCAGGGACTTTCTCAGGCTGGTCTGTCTTTGTGTAAAGCGTCATGAGGCTGTTGTAAGACATGGCGCTAACTGTGATGTTGAGCTCTTTCATCTTGCTCAGTAAGCCTTCCGCTTTCTCTGTCATCAGCTCCTTGCAGTAGCAGTTTAAGAGAGAGCCGTACGTGAGCTCGGTTTTCGATGTTTCAGGAAGACCGACGAAATAATTCTCTCCGGCGACGATTCCACGAGCTTTGGCTACAAGATCGAGATGGATTGCTTGATCAGGCACCGTCTTGTTCATACCTCTATGTTCCATTACTTCAGAGAGCTGCAAGAAACATTCATCAATACAGTGAGATTCTAGTTTAGTTGCAATGTCACAGCAACTTCAAGATCACACCAACTTCAAGAGAATCTCTTTCTGCTCTTGTACCACAATTGCAAGATAATGAGCATCAAAGTACCATTAAAGAATCTACATTTCTACATGAATTCAACATCTTGAAGCAAATGCTTGTATAATCCGAAATGTAACACCAATTTCAATAGAATCTCTCTCTTTCTCTCTGCTCCTAAAGCAATGTCACACTATTTTCAAGATCACACTAATCTCAGGAGAATCTTTCACTGATTCTATACCAATTGCAAGACAATGAGAATCAAACTACCATAAAAGAATCTACATTTCTACATGAATTCAACATCTTGAAGCAAATGTTTGTATAATCCGAAATGTCACACCAATTTCAAGAGAATCTCCCTCTGCTCCTATACCAATTGCAAGACAATTACCATCACAAACTACCATTTAAAAATCTACATTTCTACATGTACAGTATTCAACATTTTCAGAAGACAAATTCTCAAGCAGTAGTAAAGAGACAGTCATCAACACAGTGAAAATCTAGTTTACAGTTGCAATGTCACATCAATTTCAAAAGAATCTCTCTATCTGATTCTATACCAATTGCAAGATAATGAGCATCAAACTACCATTAAAGAATCTACATTTCTACATGAATTCAACATCTCGAAGCAAATGACTGTATAATCCGAAATGCCACACCAATTTCAAGAGAATCTCTCTCTGCTCCTTTACCAATTTCAAGACAATGAGCATCAAAAACTACCGTTTCAGAATCTACATTTCTACATGTATTCAACCTTTTGAAGCAAATGATTGCATAATCCGAAATGTCACACCAATTTCAAGCTCTCTCTCTCTCTCTATGCTCTTAAAGCAATGTCACACTAATTTCAAGATCATACTAATCTCAGGAGACTCTCTCTCTGCTCCTATACCAATTGCAAGACAATTAGCATCAAAATGTCACAGCAATTTCAAGAGAATCTCTCTCTCTCTCTCTGCTCTTATACCAACAATTGCAAGACAATTAGCATCAAAAACTACCATTTCAGAATCTAAATTTCTACACGTAATCAACATTTTGAAGCAGATGATTGTATAATCCGAAAATTACTGTGATAAATCAGCGAATCGAAGCTGCGATTTTGCAGAAATTAAGATGAAAATTTTCGATTTTGAAAAAAACCTTGAGTGCTGGGTAAAAGAGGCGGCGACTCCGGAGTTTCTTGATCGTATCTCCGACTTCCCATTTGAATACGTGCTTGGTGCCTTTGAGGAACTGATTGAGCTGCTGTTTGACATTGACCTCGTTGCCACCTTCCTTGAAGAGAAGATTGTAAAGCGGTCCTTCGATGTACTTCTTCGTCGACCTCCTCGCGATGTCTCTCGACCGGCTCAGATGTGGCATCGCCATTTTGTTTTTCAGTCGGATCAGTGAAGTGTCTATTGCTCCGATGAGGTTTCTGGTAAAACCCTAGTCACTGTGACATTTCAGGCTCGAGAGTATTTGGAAGAAGAAGAAAATGGATTACGGACTTTTTAATGGGCTTAATGATTCATTTCGTCTGGCCCATATGACTACAAATTTCGGGCCTTAAGACGATTTTAGGGGTGACAAAAGTATGTACAACATTCAATTTTGATTTGTTTATTATCTCATGTATCAAATTAACCCTACAATTAAATCACCAAAAACAAAATAATAACCCTACAATTTATGGAATTGACCATATTTTGAAAATTTATGTATCAAATTCAAATAATTAAGTAGCTTAGCTTATGTCTTTTTTTTTGGCATGCATCAATAGCTTGTATACTTATGAACTAATCTGTTTACCAAGTTGTTAACAACTCACAATTTGAGCTTAAACTCTTATATGACAGGAATGGCTTAAAATTGAAGCTATTTTCTGTTATGATTAAAACCCATACTGTCACTTTCAATTTTCGTTGATGTCTCTTCACGAGTCCGTTTTGTAAGAACTTAGTTACTTAATAAATCCGCCTCTCATACCAAAAAAAAAAAACCCCCCATACCGTCACTTTTTAACATTGGTTTCATTGTTGATTTGGTGCAGATGAAAAATTCTGAAACCTGTGAAGATCTTTATTCCTTTTGTAAAGTTTGTATGTATGACATGAGATGTAAATAAATCAAAATTGAATTTTGTAATAATTCTGAAACCTGTGAAGATCTTTATTCCTATTGCTTACTCTCTCTATCAAGGATTTAAGTTTGTCAACGATGTTTGACTATTACTTCTTTTTATTTTCAGTTCTTCTTTTTGTTTTCAATTTCCTCTTTCAACAAAGAATTCGAGACAACAACTAATACTTGCTTTGCTTTTAGCTTTTAGCTTTTTGCTTTGCTATTTTGGCCTGATGACAAGAATGCCTGAGCGATCAAAGCATCTGAGAGCACTGAAGAACTTAGCGATAGAAACAAGGATAGTTTGCTTTATTTAGTGAAGTCACTAAGGAACTTGAGTCGCTGAACAGTTTTGTTTTTGACTTAGAAAAAAAAAAATGATATGTGAATAACAACACGTTTTTCATCTCAGCGGATGAAACTATTATTACAAATTTTACAAGAAAATATATGCTAAATGAGCTAACAAATTTGCTATATTTATTGGGCAATTCTCAAAAATTGATATTTGTTTTATTCCAAATATAGACTCATAGGGTTTTCTTTTTATAATAACACAAATTAAAAATAAAATGATTCCAAAACTCCTTTTTAATGGAAGAATCCTACAATATATTAAAGACCATACATTTTTGCTGATGTGGCAAGCTCACAGTTTTTTGGACTCATTTTTTAATTATTTAACTAAATTCTTTTTCTCACTCGGTAAAGGACGCGGATCCTTACTCCGGGACGGTTTTTTTTTTAAAAGGCGACAAGTGGCAATATTGAGTCCAACCTCGACGCACTGGGCCTTGCAAAATGTGGAAATTTTATTAGGCTTCAGTATTTAATATCGTTCAGCGTAAATATTTCAGTCCCATCAGATTGCCTTATTCGGAAAAACCGAATTAACGTATCTTCATGACCACGTATATGAAACCTTCCATGAATGTTTTATATTTCGTCACGTTCTTCTTTTCTGGGATACATATAATCAATGCTCATATCAGAGTTTATCAATTATTTCCTAAATTTCATTCCGAATAAACTAAAATTCCTTTCGCATAGTATTCAATAATTACAAAATTATTTGGCGAATATTACTTTCTAAAGTAATGAAATCCGAATAAATTATATGTTTCCAACTCTGATCATTAAAATATTCTCAAAGTGGCTAAACCTAAAGAGCCATAGAATAACCATCCCAGTATTTAAGCTAACCTCCCCACCCCCGAACAAACGTATACCGCATCACCTCATTTCTCTATTTAAGCAAAACTTCTCCATGTTTCCTCCCATCATCCTTCACACGGAGACATTTAGATTTTGGTTATCAAAAACTTTTTGCGAAATGGCAATGATTGTTTATTTCATTGGTGACGTTTCATGGATTTTTTTTTCTCTTTTTTTTTTTTGCAGGTTGGAAATAATTAAGATGCAAAGGGTCATGTTCTTTGCATAATCAGAGCTGTGCAATGATGATGGAAAGTTGAACGACGAAAGGTATCTCTCAGTATATATTCTTTTGTTTATTGTCTTTTAAAGAAATCCAATTGTTTTCTGATTTTTTCCATGGATTGGTATACAATAATCAAAGTGTTACATTAACAGTTTGCAGATATATGGTCGTGCAGAATAATCTTATACATCATGTTGCTTTGATCTGATCAAAACGAAGATCCAGAAGAGCCAAGAGACTATCTAAGACAATAGAGGTAACAACTTAAACATGATTGTTTCTTTTATTATCTTAGTTATCTATAAACTCTTTGATTATTCTAAAAGCCAGAGAATCCTTAGCTTCGAATACACATTCCCTGAAGACACACGGATTTCATCTAAATCCTATCAACTGTTTTGCCATCCCCGAACCGTAAGTCATTTCGTTGACTCGCTTTAACTATCACACAAAAATAACCTTTTTTATGTTAATTATTGTATACAGAATTAGCACTCCAGAGATTAAACAATCATTGCTAATCCAAGGCATAATGTGATGGTGGCTTCAAAAGCCGTCACATTCCTTGATAATCATGACACTGGCTCTACTCAGGTTACTTAAACAATTTCTTATTCCTTTTTCACTCTACATGTTTGCTTTTTTTGTGGTTTTTTTTGTTTTGTTTCCCTTACAAGATCATTTGTTCCCTTCGCACCAGTTTATGTAGATAAAGAAGCTCCTTAAATTAACAATATATAATCTAATTCCTTAGTTTATTAAGATCCCTCCCTAATCCAGGCAATTCATTTGTGTTTATAATCACTTCTACAATTGGGGTATCTCGATTCATGACCAGTTAGGCAGTTAACAGAGCCTCGGGTTAACCTTTTTTTTTCCGTCTCAATATTATTCATTGACTGAGAGGCATTAGGAGATACCACGATATCCGCAGTAGGTCAACAATACGCATTTTTACATGATACGAGTTTATATTATAATATGAATTTGATGAAAGATGTGTCCCATTTATTATGTAAGTCTTATCCCTTTGCGTATAGAATCAGAATTTGATGAAAGATGTGTACGTACGTAATATAGATTTATTCATTCATTATAATTTGATGAAACAGTATATAATAAAGATGAATCAGAATTCATTCATTATAATTTGATGAAACATTATATAATAAAGATGAATCAGAATTCATTCATTATAAGAAATAATATCAAGATGTACGAAAGTAGAAGAGATCAAGATGAAGAAGAGTATATTAGGAAATAGGGTTCAAGCTCAGATTTTCGGAAACAGTACAATATATATGTATTTTGTGTACTATATGTACTATATTTCTTTGTGTCTTTTTGAAGCACAATCTTATAAATGTTCGCAGGTTTGTCTTCTTTTCGTTCCTTATTTTTTGAAGCACAATTTTATTTTTCTGGCAATTTATCTAACAGGTAACAAAATTTCTGAAATTATTGGTGACCTGGAAGTGATCAACGAGATGGTAGAAAAAGATACTGGCTGACGTCAATGTATTAGAGATGATGATGCAAAGTATAGCATTTAGTTGTTGTTTTCTTTCATTCTTTGCTTCTCTATAAAAATGTTGAGATATGGTTACACAAAAATATCATACTATTTCTGCGTAAATGTTTGGAATCATATTTTTGAGAAAAGAATAATTTGAAATCAGTCTTGCAAAAAAGTCATTGATATCTACATCTATAAATTTGTGGATCGGATTTTATTTGGCGTGAACTTTGTGGAATAGTTTGTTTTTTTTTTGTTTAAATCAAATTTTAAACTAAAATTTATGGTCAAAATTTGGTGAATTTGTAATTTTGGTAGATTTGAGGAATCCTATTTTTGGAGAAAATATTTAGAACAAGACTTCTGACGTAAAATAATATTTTTGAGAAATTTGTGATTCTATACTGCACAATTAAACTAATTGCAGAAATTTTATTGACTCACAAATACGGCGGAAAATTTGTTAATCGGATTTTGTTTGACGAGAACATTGCGAAATAGTTTGTAGTGGATCTCTCTATTTGCTTTCTTAATATACAGTAAAACCTCTATAAAACAATAATGTTGGGACTTTGAAATTTTATTATCTTATAGAGTTATTATTTTATCGATAAAACAATAATTATTATTTTATCGATAAAACAATAATTATTATTTTATAGAAATATTCTATCAAAAACAAGAAACTTTATAGACATATATTTTTTCACTTTTTTATTCAAATTTTCCTTATACTTTGTTATTTACATATTTCATGCTCAGAAGTTCAAAATCTAGAAGAAATTATGTCTAATGTTCTTAATGGTGAAGATGAAGTTGAAGATGATGAGGAAAGACATGTGCAAGTAGTTAAGCAATTGTGGCTTCGAGAACTCTTCACAACTTTTGGCTGCAAGTTGAGAATACATCAACAGAAATTGTAGATGCAATAAGAAAAATTCGAGATGAGCTCCAACGGGAATCCAACTTTCAGAAAAGACAAACTACATTGGAGTCATATTTTACTAAATTGTCTTAGATATATATGCCTTAGTTTTATAATTATTATCTTAGGTTATTGTTGGGACTATATTTTTACATAGGAGTTTCAAAAATATTATTGTCTTATCATCTTATCGCATTATGCTATTTTTTACATTGGCCCGAGTTGGGACCGGAGAAAATTATTGTCTTATAGTGTTTATTGTTTTATCGAGTATTGTTTTATAGAGGTTCTACTGTAAATTTTTTAAAAAGTTTAACTATATTTTATTAGCAATATTTCTAAAGGTCTTTTAAATTTATTTAAATTATAATCTTTTGAAAGAATCACGTAATTAATGTACTTTGAAAATAGGAAACAACTTACATATAATAATACGTATAAATAAATAACCAATTATCTATCTATTATTCCAAAACGGAAAAAAACTACAATATTAGTAATCGAGACAATATGCTTATTATTATATTAAAAATATTTATATAGATTGATAAAGAAATAAAGTATATATTAATCTAAAAACAATATAAAAAATGACATATTCATTTGATAATAATTTATTTTAAATACGAAAAATGTTAAAGTTAACTCAATCCCATGCATTAGGCGTGGGTAATCCCCTAGTTCTAAACATAATGTGTTCATATTATGTGTTAGGGTAAGCAAATATCTTCACACAAAAAATTGTGTTACTTTTAGAAAATTAAAATTTACTTTCCTAGCTAGTTTTGAACAAAATCTTGGTTTGTCCATTTAAACGTAATTCTCATATCTATAATGTAAACATTCGTAAAATTTTGACTAGTTTGCTTATATAACAATTTATCTTTCACATAGAACATCTATATATATACAAAAAAAGAATTTCGTTACAGTTTGACTATAACAAGCAAAGTATGTCAAAGTCTTTGAGCTCAAAATATCAAAATATCTTCAATTGACCAATAAGAAAATCTTATCTTCAATTATTCTCTTCATACTCTCTGGTTTGCTCACATCAGTAAACTTCAACTTTCAGATCTCTACCTTTTCTGTAAATGGGGAATTGCGTATCCCTCTCGATATCGTCTGATCAACCGATGAAGAAAGTCTGCCAGTGGCTAGAAGTCCAAGGGAGTTACGTTCACAACCTTAGCAAGAATCTCGGAGCGCTCGAGAGAACCATGGAAGAGCTCAAGGCTAAGCGTGATGATTTATCAAGAAACGTCACAAGAGAGGAGGACAGAGGTCTACAAAGGCTTTCCGAGTTCCAGGTATGGCTTACTAGAGTTGAGACTATCGAAAACAGAGCCAGTGATCTTTTTAGTACTAGAGATGTTCAACTTGAAAGCCTGTGTCTTTATGGGTTTTGCTCTAAGAGTTTAACATCGAGTTATCGTTATGGAAAAGTTGTTTTCTTGACGTTGAAAGAAGTTGAGAAACTCAAAAGTAGGGTTTTTGAAGTGGTTTGTGATCAGCAAGCTCAAACGTGTAAAGTGGAGGAAAGACAACTTCAACCTACAATTGTAGGACAAGAAAGAACGTTGAAAAAGGCATGGAACCATCTCATGGGAGATGAAGTTGGTGTTATGGGTATGTACGGTATGGGAGGAGTAGGAAAAACAACGCTTTTAGCACAGCTCAACAATAGGTTTAGTGAAAAGAGCTGTGGGTTTGATTTTGTGATTTGGGTTGTGGTGTCTAAAGAGTTGCAAGTAGAGAAGATTCAAGATGAAATCGCTCGGAAAGTCGGTGTCCGTGGAGAGGAGTGGAAACAAGAAGAGAAGAGCCAAAAGAGAGATGTTATATACAGTTTCTTAAGGAAAAAGAAGTTTGTGTTGTTTCTAGATGATATATGGGAGAAAGTGGATTTAGTTGAGATTGGAGTCCCGTTTCCAACAGCTCAAAACGGATGTAAAGTAGCATTCACCACTCGTTCTCAGGCTGTTTGTGCGCACATGGGAGTCGAAGAACCAATGGAAGTTAAATGCTTGGAGGAACATGATGCATTTGATTTGTTCCATAAGAAAGTTGGACAGAAAACCCTAGGAAGCGATCCGGAGATCCCCGAACTTGCAAGACAAGTTGCTAAAAGATGTTGTGGCCTCCCATTGGCACTTAATGTGGTAGGCGAGACAATGTCATGCAAAAGGACGAAACAAGAATGGTATCACAAAAAAAAAAAAAATAAAAAAAAAAAACAAAAAAAAAAAAAAAAAAAAAAAAAAAAAAAAAAAAAAAAAAAAAAAAAAATCTAAATAAAAGGAAGAAAAAAAAAAAAAAAAAAAAAAAAAAAAAAAAAAAAAATAAAAAAAAAAAATCAAAAAAAAAAAATGAAAAGGACGAAACAAGAATGGTATCACACAATAGATGTTATGACTTCATATGCTATAGAGTTTTATAGCATGAAAGATAAGATCTTTCCGCTTTTGAAATACAGCTACGATAATCTTGAAGGCGAGCAACTCAAATCTTGTTTGCTATATTGCGCTTTATTCCCCGAGGATGATAAAATTCCTAAAGAAAAGTTGATAGGCTTGTGGATATGTGAAGGGATTATAGATGGAAGTGAAGGTATAGAAAAGGCTGAGAACAAAGGTTATGAGATCATTGGTAGTCTTGTTCGTGCATCATTGTTAATGGAGGTTGATTGGTATAGAACACAATGTGTGTACATGCATGATGTTGTTCGTGAAATGGCCTTGTGGATTGCGACTGATTTGGGGATACAAAAAGAAGCTTTCATAGTACGAGCAAGCGTTGGTTTACATGAAATGCCAAAGGTTGAGGAATGGAACGTTGTGAGAAGGATGTCACTGATGAACAACAAGATTCAACATCTCCATGGTAGTCCTGAATGTCTCAAACTCACAACTTTACTCCTACGAAGAGCGAATTTAGCGAATATCTCTAGTGAATTCTTCAAGTCCATGCCAAGGTTAGCTGTTTTGGATCTATCTTGTAACGGAAATCTTTTTGAGTTGCCTGATTGCATATCGGAACTGGTTTCTTTGCAATATCTCAACTTGTCATATACAAGTATACGCCATTTGCCTAAAGGTGTGAAAGAGTTGAAAAAACTTATTAACTTGGATTTAGAAGAAGCAGATAAGCTTTCAAGTGTTGCTTGGATATCAAGTCTTCATAGTTTAAAAATACTGAATCTATCTCGTGTTGGTTTTACATTGAATTGCGAGGTAGTGGAGGAGTTGAAAACCTTGGAGAATTTAGAAATCTTAACCATAGACTTCAATCTCCCTCCAAGTTTGAAGAAATTTTTGAGCTCCCATAGGTTGCCGTGTTGCACACGAGACCTAACGATCAGAGGTATTGATATGGATGATACATCTGGACTATCACTTCCATTAACAATGAACAAGCTTCGTGAGTTCAACATTCTGTGGAGCAGTATCTCTGAGATCAAGACGGTCCCTCCTCTACACAATCCAAGAAACCTATGCTTCTTGAGCCTCTCCAAAGTGATGATACTGGATTGTAAAGGCCTCAAGGAATTGACGTTTCTGATGTTTGCTCCAAATCTCAGGACTCTTGTTGTTAATATAGCGAACCAGCTAGAAGATATAATAAGCAAAGAGAAAGTTTGTGAAGGTGACAAATCAGGGATGGTTCCGTTTCAAAAGCTTGTTACTCTTGTGTTGGTTGATCTTCCCGAGCTGAAGAGTATCTATTGGAGACATCTACCATTTCCATGTCTAAAGAGATTCGATGTGTTTGGGTGTTCAAAGCTGAAGAAGCTTCCACTCGATTCTCAAAGTGGCATGCACGGTGAAAATGGACTCATCATAAGATACAAAGAGAAAGAATGGATTGAAAATGTGGAATGGGAAGACGAAGCTACCAAGAAATGGTTCTTACATTCAAGCTCACAGGTCTAGCTTCTCCTACTTGATTTTCAAGGTTAATTTTATTCTTTTCGAAATATGAACTGTAATGTACACGAATGTTTGTACAAATCTTAAACCATGGATTGTTTATTCCTAAAGGAGGAAAATTAATAATCAAGAACACAAGCCAAAGTGTGATTTGGAAATGCTTTACTTTTGAATACTTTGTATACTTAAGCCGCAAGTCACATTACGAGACGTGTATGTGATAGGTTTGATCTCTCCAGCTTTGATTACCTATGACGCTCGGAAACTGACAGCTCCATGCAATTTCAGATTGAGACGAACCTAAACGAAACCCCAAAGTATTTCTTAATAATTAATAAAAGAAAACATAGTAAAAAAAATGTCTAATATTCTACTTTTCATTATGGAGATCTGCATAATCCAATACTTATAATTACCAAGGGGAAACAACACCCTTCTCCTTGTTCAGATCAGCTCTGAGATTCAACACCATCTGTTCCAACGACAAAAATTTAGCAGCAAAAGTATCAGATTTTTCCTCATTCTTGTTCAGCGCATCTTTGAGATCCGACACCTCATCTTTGAGATCTGACACCTCATCTTTGAGATCCGACACCGTCTGCTCAAACAACAGAACTTTAGCAGCAGGAGTAACACTTTTGACCTTCTCCTTTTTCAGTTCAGCATTGAGATTCTTGTTTTGTTCCTCGAGTTCTTGGACTCGAGAAACATCAGGATTTGGTTTCTTCCTCTCCAAGGTAACATCAGCAAGCTTTGTCTTCAACCAGTCTAGCTCGAACCCCGCTTCTGTTAGATCGATCAATTCGATCTGTGCGTTGCTTAGGTCAGTTTCCGTTAAGCTATGTGGAGGCTTGTTCAGTAACTCGATGAGATTGAGGAGGAGATTCGTGTATGTTGTCTTCAACGGTTTGCTCTTTGGTCTGAAATTTACAGCAATGTTAGGATGTTCTACGAAAAGCTGATTCGCTGAATAAAGCTGTCACGGAGAGAAAGATGAAACTATATTAACCCTACAAAAGGGAATACAAAGGAAGAAAAACACAACTTTATAATATTAATCATACCTGAGAATACATAACGTTATAACCATTTAAAAAATTGAACGTCTCATTCTCAGTGACATCTCCTTCATCAACAACTTCAACTACTTTTACTTCCACTTTCACTATCAATTTGTTCTTCTCCAGAAACCCTTTTTCTTGAAGCTCTTTAAGAGGTACGGCATTTGGCTTACCCCGTCCTGAGAACTCATAGCAGAACAATTGGCACAACGATTCTGTAAACCAAAACCAGAAAGATTAAACTAAAATTTTGTTCCTCGACAATCATACATATACATACATGTACATCTGATAAGTAAATTACCAGGTACTCTGAAGAGATCTTTGCCAGATTGATTCAACAGAATAAATGAATAACTAGCTCGTCTTTTCCATCCAATTCTCAATGATTCAGTATTCGCAACATGGAGGTAGAGAGACAAGTGATCATCAACAATATATCCTTTATGAACATGAACAAACCTGAAAGAAATAAAAAAGAGAAACATATATATAAATCAAGCTTGGTTATAACCCTAATAACAAAGACGAGTTATTTTGTTGAATCCAGAGGATGAGTTAAGAAAACAAAATCTTTTCGTTTACCATTCGCATCCTCCCCTTGAGAATGTTGGTGATGATATGATAGCTTCCTTCTCGGAGAAATTATCTATCTCAAACGTGAAACTCGTCTGCTCTTGATCCTCCATATCTCTGCGAAACACTTTTCTTTTCTTACTTTGAGCAAAAGACTAGGGTTTGACTGAATTAGGGTTTCGAGCACAACTTCAGAAATATGAGATGTGGAGATGACCGTGAGCATGACCCATGGCCCATGGGTTTACTTTATTCTCTCTTTTTTTTTTTTTTTTTTTTTAAATTATTTTCACCAAGTATGGTCCTTGAGGCTGCTTTAGTTGTTTGCCTTTCCTCAACTTCTTAGGAAAGGAATTTTGGGATATGACTAACATCCGCAAGTGTTCATTTTTTTGGTCCTCATTTCCTTTTCTACCTTATGCTGCTCATATTAGACTATAATTATCAATTTGTTTTTGTTTTTCTCTTTTATTTTTTCTACCTTCTGATTTAAGATATCACCATCTACATATGTTTGAGCTCTTTGTCAAATGAGTCAGGATCTTGTGTTTTTTCGACGCATTTTTGGACATCCTACAAACTCGTGCATGCTTTCATGCTTCTTAGATTCCTATATTAGATTGATGAGAGAAGAACACTTTAGTGTTTGGGAAGAATTGTATTAACTCTCATAATCACAATGGTTACAATGGTTACACTTATATAGAAGACTCATCTAACCTAATCATCTAATTGATAGAATCCCATTATCATAATTACAATATATTCACAATATCAACATTAGTACTATAGATCTTCTAGATCCTTCTACATCCTATGCCCTTCACAATTTTTTGTTTTTTAATATATAAAACAGTTTCCATATGTAAACATCAGATAGTGCATATATATTCATTAGATAACAATCGGTAGTTTCTTTTGAGAAGTCGTGTACCATTACGAAACTGTTACGTTTGGTTGTGCGAATGTAAGATGGTCGAGAACGAGAACAAAGAGAAGTTTTCTAGCATTTGACTCTGTTTCTTCTCTTTCGTCCAAATTTTTCTCTGTCATAACTAATAGAGAAAATTACTCATATTAGCACTCATTCAAAGATGAACTAATAACACTTCCACAAATATGAACAAGCTTCGTGGTTTCAACATCCTTTGGTGCAGACAGTATCTCTAAGATAAAGATCGATGTAGTTTCGTTTGTAATAAGAAATCCAAAAGAAATCATAAAGACAAATTCACAAGAAATATAGCTACTAAAACAAAATATGATCAGCTAAAAGAAAAGTTCCAAACTATCTATTGGAGTCCTTTACCATTTACATGTCTAAAGAGATTCGATGTGTTTGGATGTTCAAAGCTGAAGAAGCTTCCACTCGATTTTCAAAGTGGCATGCACGGTGAAAATGGACTCATCATAAGATACAAAGAGAAAGAATGGATTGAAAATGTGGAATGGGAAGACGAAGATACCAAGAAATGGTTCTTACATTCATGCTCACAGGTCTAGTGTATCCTCTTCTCTTACTTGATTTTCAAGGTTGATTTTGTTTTTTTTCCGAGATGTGAACTGTAATATATACGAATGTTCATACAAATCTTTATTTACTCCCAAAGGAAGAAACTTAATAATCAAGAACACAAGTCAATGTGTGATTTGGAAATGCTTTACTTTTGAATACTTTAGCCGCAAGTCACATTACGAGACGTGTATGTGGGGATATGGCTATTTAACTTTCACTTGGTGGTGATCTCAGACGAGGTCATAGTTTAGGAGACATCTGATACCACACCATAGTTTTGGTGGGGAAATAGGTCGTCAACCCGATAGGTTTGATCTCTCTAACTTTGAATACCTATGAGGCTATGACGCTCGGAAACTGATACTTTCATGCAACTTGAGACTGAGACGAACATATACAAAACACCCAAAGTTCTTGTTAATAATTGATAAAAAGAAAACCAAAAACATAGTAATAAAATGTCTAATATTCTTCTACTTTTCATAATCCAATACTTCCCAAGGGCAAACAACACCCTTGTCCTTGTTCAGATCAGCTCTGAGATTCAACACCATCTGTTCCAACGACAAAACCTTAGCATCACAAGTATCAGATCTGGCCTCATTCTTGTTCAACTCATCTTTGAGATATGACTCATTCTTTTTCAGCTCATCTTTAAGATCCAAAACCGTCTGTTCCAACGACAAAACTTTAGCAGCACAAGTATCAGACTTGTCCTTCTCCTTGTTCAGCTTACGTATGAGATTCAACAACCCATCTTTAAGCACCAACACCCCATCTTTAAGCTCCGACAGGTCATCTTTGACATCAGACATTTCATTCGACACACCACCATTAAGCTCCAACATTTCATCTTTGAGATCCGACACCGTCTGCTTCAACAACGAAAAACCATTAGCAGCTGAAGTATCAGATTTGGCTTCATTCTTGTTCAGCTCATCTTTGAGATCCTTCACAACATCTTTAAGATCCGACATCTCATCTTTGAGACCCGTCACCACATCTTTAAGATCCGACACCGTCTGCTCAAACAACAGAACTTTAGCATCAGAAGAAACACTTTTGACCTTCTCCTCGTTCAGTTCAGCTTTGAGGTTCTTGATTTGCTTCTCAAGTTCTTGGACTCGAGACCCATCATCATCAGCAGCATTCGTTTTCTTCCTCTCCAAGGAAACTTCTTCAAGCTTTGTCTTCAAAAAGTCTAGCTTGAATCCTGCTTCTGTTAGATCGATCAACTCGCTGCGAGTGTTGCTTAGCTCAGTCTCGGAGATGCTATGTGGAGGCTTGTCCAGAGTCTCGATAAGATCAAGGAGGATATTCATGTATGTTGTCTTCACTCGTTGGTTCTTTTGTCTGACATTTACTGCAACGTTCGGGTGATTTGCAAAAAGCTTACTCAGTGAAGTAGCCTGTAAACAAGAGAAAGATTTAATTACGGAAAAGGGAATCAATTAAAGAAGATAATAAACAAGAAGAAGCATCCGTTTTATTTAATAATACCTGAGAATAAAGGACTTGGAAACCACCATAATCAAATGTCTCCTTCCCAGTGACATCTCCTTGATCAACTACTTCAACTACTTTGACTTCCACTTTAACTATCAGTTTGTTCTTCTCTAGAAACCCTTTTTCTTGAAGCTTTTTAAGAGGTACGGCCTTGGACCTACCCCATCCTGACATTTGAGCGCAGAACAATCGGCAAGTCGTATCTGTAAACCAAAACCAGAAAGATTAAATTAAAAATTTCTTCCTCGACAATCATATATATACATGAACATCTGGTAAGTAAATTACCATTTATTTTGATGAGGTCTTTGCCTAATTGGTTCACCAGAAAGAAGGAATAACTA